TTATCTCAGGGGAAATAAAAATGTATATCTAAACCTAATTTATTATTTGAATTTGATCGCATTTAAAAAAGAAAATGATTGATATATTTCTTAATTTATGATTTAACTTTGATTGTATATTGACAAAAATGCCATTATAATGCTCAATATGTACATCACAACAAATATTTGGGGTTTTACATTTACCAGCACTGGGTGACCGACAATGACTTTGACTCTTGTCCTTTCTTCTTCTTTTATGTTGTTTTCATTAGAATTCTCTTTTCTCTGAGCTTCTATCCTTTCTCTGCCTACAGGATTCTTCCATAATTCATGAGTACGGACTAAACAGCCCCCTAAAGATGGTTGTTTATCAGAACGCTCTTGAAGAACTCTTCAAGCTCTGATGACTAAATTGATAAACTAAGGCAGTGGAGACTGCCTTAAGTACCTTGCTTTTCCAGGAACCCACGCAATCTCGATGCAAGGTTTTTTATATTTACTTATTGTCTGTTGAGAGTTAGAAGAGCGTTAACTCTGAGTTATAGTAGAATAAGAATTAACGCCCTTCTGGCTCACAATTGACATTACTATTAACATGCTTTAGAGCAAATGTTCACGCTCGTGACAACGGAAACCTCTCTTTTAATAGCAAGCTCTCCAATTATTTACATCAAAATCCATTCTCTACTTCAGCTAAAACTGTAATTTATATTTGTTGTACATCGTGTAAGGATAAATAACAAAAACAATGTGTTTCTCGTCCAGATTTTTTTGTTAAAGGAGGCGGCAGGACATTACTATTTTGCAATTATTGCTATCTTTTTCCAAGATGGCTGCCATGCTAATTATAGCTGGCCAAGCCTATTTATTCACAGATATTGTGCTATGTGAGTATACCGACGCAATGTATGACAAAACAAATGAATTGTGTCACTTTAGAAGCTATAAACAAAATGTATATCACAGGCTTAAAAGGAGGCGGGCAGGGACAAGAAAAACTTTATTTTTGTTATTTGGCCCAAGTACCATGAATGAAAAGAATTATTAAAAAAAAACTTTAATAGGCAAATTAATATTGGTCTTTCCCTGAATGGCAATATTCAATAACAGATTTCAAAGTGCTTGCCTAAAATCCAACATTGAATTTAACAAGTTACAAAATATAACTCCTATGTGACATAAACGCTATATGTAGTTAATGCCCTTCTGGCTCCAAACAGACCAAATGTCTAAAGACATGATCTCTGAAGGCACTTGTCTACATGGATACTTCACTTGACTGGAAATAAAATGCATTGCAAACTGAAAAAGTTTCTCAACTTGACGTCACTATCCTCTACAGTTTTATATTTATTCATACTAATTAACAACAAACCTCCAAAAAGCACTTCTCAACTTCACGTCATGTAAACAATGCAGAACATAGCCTTCATATTCACCGTATTTATCACCCAGAAGCGAAACCGATACTACTTCCATTTCTAATTAATCATCAGGATATTTGAGCCAAAAGTTTAAGTTACTGTAATTGTAAACTGCTTGAGGAATTAATCATTTCCCAGAATTTAATCATCTACACCAGATAAGTACCAAATGTCGACCAAGGTTAAGAGACACAAAAGCAGTCAAAAATAGAATATATACACCCTGTACATACACATGTATTTCATCCATAGTTCTCCATGAAATTTATGCGATCTCAATTAATCAAATATCAATCTGTGTCATCTTATATTACCGGCTGCCTTTAAAGGTATAAAGACCACTCATGGTCAAGCAATTGCATTGTGAAAGAAACCTTGTGGAATCGATCAGAAAAGGTTGATCATCTAGCATATAAGTATTGGTGTGTACTGCAAGGTTCTGGAATCATCAAAATGATAAGAAATTTGGCCCAGTCTTGGTAAGTTACGAGGACTGTATACAGAAAGATGTATATGGGACTACGCGACACGTGCGCGATAACTATCAGGTTCAAATAGATATAATAATTTACCAAATATATCAATTAGTAGGCGGTTTCTCGGCAAGATTTGTATAATCACGTATTAGTCAAAAGTCAAAACATATTCTTTCACATGATTGGTAATAAGAGCTTCCATTTCATTTTTTTAGAGGGGGGCGTTTCCAAAACTGATCTTTACCTTTAAGATACATGTACATGTAACTGCTTCAGATTTTCTTTGATGAAAGGGGTTGTATTAAGAAAATTATGCTTCATACACATATGTACACTGTAGTACATTACATTTTTTACGTCAAGGAAAATAATGTTAAAGGTATTAAGGTAATACAAAGTTTTGGTATGCGGTCATGAATTTGGTTCAAATGAACATATTGGAAGCATGTATTTTCAATGATCCTAGTTGCGGTTGAAATTGAGTCTTAAGTGATGAAATTGTAAATAATAAACTCTTTATGTTGTATATCTCCCTTGCAAGACTGATATTACTTTAGCTTTAAAAAAAGGTTTCTTGACAGATTTGCTATTCCTGATTGGAAATTATTTATCAGAATTGCATATTCTGAGATTTACATGGTCGCAGCTACCATGGGCTGGCCTTAGGCGCTATTTGAAATTTACCAGGATTATCAGTAGATTTTAATTATTCAATTTCTCAAATCAAAAGCAGAAGTGTTTTAGGGGCTAAGCTTTCTACATGTAGTGCTTAAAAACTGCTTATAATACATCAACAGGGGCATCCAAAGTCCTAAAGAATTACTATCTATCCAATTTTCAAAATTTCCCAAAACTTAGTACAACACTAAAAAAAAAAAGGCAATACCGGTATACGGTTTCTAAAATACCACTCAATATTTGCAGTCATTGTCAGTGAAAGAATAAAAAAATATTTTTACACAAAAGGTTGACTACTAAAATTATTTTACTACACATTCTTTAAAACATAATTGTTCTAATTGCATCAAATGTTAATGATGCAATGTTGCTGACCACATCCCTTTTAAACTTTATTTCTCAAAAGTTTGGATATGACGCAAAGTGAAACTGAAAAACAATGACCTAGGCTGTGTCGGTAGGAATTAATATCAACTACAGTACAATGTAGGTCCAGGGCACACAGGCCCAAAATCCTAGCAGAATCCCAATTTAAAAAAATCTTAAACATATTGTAGGCCCAGTGTACACAAACCCTAAAAAAAATCCAACATCTTCTTTTAGTTTTGGATCCCTGATGTAAGCCTACAATGTGTACATGAAAAAATACCCAATATAAAGACGTGTCAAGATGGAAACAGATTTGCAACAAGAAACAGACATTTGTGGTCTTTTTTGTACCCTACGTGCTTGGTTCATTGGTTTTGCATGAAAGCATTGTTCAAATAAGCTCACCTCTATTTGCAATTTCTTGGAAATGCTGAGGACTTTGGAAGCTTGTACTCACAGCTATACAGTTTCTATGACCTTCCACAATGGAGAAAACTTCCTTTTTTGTGTGTGGTTTTACACCTCCCCCACCCCCATTCAATTAAACATATTAAAGAAGTCACTACAGCTATAAATGCTCATTGCTAAACCCAGTTTTTGTGCCTTACAGCACTTTTTAACAATTGAACAAGGGACAATTAAGTGAAGAAAGGAGGAACAAAAGAAGTTCTCATTTGTGTTGCTATACCATGTCAAGGCATATCAGCAATTATCCATTTTATGAGCCACATTCAATACTTTTAAGTGCACATACATGTGTACATGTAGGTGTAAGTTAAAGTTAATTTAATTCACCTCTTGAAATTTTCAGCATTATTAGTTTTGGGTATTAAATATTTTACCCAATTCTATTTAAAAAAATCTTTAATTTGGTGTTTTAATTTACCGGTAATTCAATTTATGAAAAAGAATCACACAAGTAAATTGCAATGGATTCAGTGACAACGCGTCCATTGGTCTTCCACTGAGGGCAAGTTGTCCCTTGTGCTGTGTTAGCCCAGATTCATTTAGCTCTTTTTTCATGAAACCAACTCCATGACAGTCACATCTGTGTCGGCGACCTACGGAATGTCAGGAAGTGGGTAAACCGTTTCACAAAACAATGATCAGCGACAAATTTATTATTTCAATTCCATCGGCTAAAAATACAGTCTTTGCCACGATCCATCAGATTTTATCCTGAATTAACAAATTAGATCATGAGGCTTAATTTCACTCAAACTGGTTGAAAAAGCAAAACTTATAGTAAGTTCATAAAATGCACCTAACGCGATCGACTGCTATCAGTCCATTGCCTTCATGTTCACTTTGTGCTCCTGTTTAGTACGTCTTGCGGCCCATGGGATCGCTGATCTCCGAAATAGCGGAGGAAGAACAAGAAGTAGAAGAAGGTAAAACAAATGATACAAACATCCAATTTGCATGAAACTGTTTGTTCCTAAGAATATGTACGAATGTATAAAATTGATAAAACTCAAGGTTGCGTTGGTGACGAGTGAATGGAAATAAGTTTTAAAATATAGGCCTAGATCTAATTTCAGTTTTAATTCTTTCGCTGCCCATAGACTACATGTAGCTTAATAAAGTTGCCTTGAGACGGTGTTCTACATAGGTACCACAGGTTTGAAGTCGTGACAAGGAATTGTCGCGGAAGTTGTCGCTCATCTTGGCAAAGACGGTTTTGTGAAACACTTAGTGGACAAGTTGAGCGACAGTGTTGAGATGTTGTTGATCTTGCATTTGTAACCCCCTTGACTCTACAATTTCAAAATTTTTACTTTTCTAAAATTAAGATTTTCCTTAAACTGTCTTTCACTTATTGCATATCTTTCGCTTTTCTGCTTTTATCAACTGAATATTGGAGTAGTTAAACTCAATCCCAGATTCCCCGTGCAAAAATGTACTGAGTGAGTGCCACAGCGGCCACTGCCACTCAACTCCAATGCTGCGGCAGTGGAACTGCACCAGTGCCAGTGGCAGAGCGTGCATGCAGTGTTTGAAGTCTGAATCTCATTCACAATTCACAGATCACTCTGCACAATCATCATTTCATGTAAAGATTTGCTCTTACCCAGAAAATTGTAGGCCACAATTTTCGCTCCTCATACTCCTTAAATTCCTCTTCGAGACTCTCCATTTCTGTCGGTTTCCCCTGTTTGGGCTGTGAGAGGTAACGATCTAGCAATTGGTACCGGAATAACTCTCAGAAGAACATTAGACAGCGGTGCACAGTGTATGTACATGCATGCAACGCAATATATTGCATTTGAGCGGTGCGTTCGGCCGGTTTTTCGTTTATTATTGCTGCCCGTCGATTTTTCCTGGAATTGCACGCAGAATAGCGATTAGACGTGCAGCAGCTAGCATGGAACGGCCACCTTCGATTCTTGATGTTCTCTCTTGCGCACGATCCGAAGCTCGTTCGGAGTTCGAGAAGACAGTGAAGAGTGTCGAAAAGTTTGATGTCGGCGAGCACCACCATCTCATCAGCAGCGGTTCTAGAGGGTTTAGGGGGCTTGGAGGCTCATGCCCTCCAAATTTCTTTAACTAAGGACCCCCCCCAGAGATTTTCTCGATTAAAATGAATTTAAGCGAGAATCATGTCATGTAAGTAGAGAATGAACACAAGAACCCCTATAGCTAAGCTCCCGGACTCGCACCCCCCCCCCCCCACGAACTTTAGTTTTAGAACCCCAGTTTAGAACTCTACGTTTTGGCCTACCCCTTCACTACCAATGGTTTCCATGTAAAACAGAAGCGGATCCAGAAAAGGGTGAGGGGATGGGCATGTGCTCCCAAGCTCAAATAGTATATTACATTGAGTTTTATTTTCCCCCTTTTAAATTATAAATCCACAAACGATTCACAGGTCTACTTATTATCTTACTGGGAGGGGTGGGGGGGGGGGGGACTGGGAGATGAAAATTAAACAAAAAAATAACATGGTATAGACATGCACACTTTTGTTGTATTGTTGTTTTTTCCAATCCGGGAGAGGAGGGTGGGGGGGGGGGGGTAATAACGTGCCCTCTATTGCATGATGCGCGCTACTCATCTGCAGATTCTCATTCTGGTAAGATAGAAAATCCATGCCTTGTTTTCATATGAAGAGAAGGTATTATATTGAACGTGCCATAGCTTATACAAGTTCGCTGTTGCTATCCTCGGCCCTGTATGATTTGGGTTACCGGGCCCCTTACACATCTCTTTTGAATATTACAAAACGAAAAGAAAAAGAAGTAGGCCTATCATTAGGTTGGGTATGTAGGGCTTGGGCCAGGTAAGTTCTATTTCTCACTCTCCGCCTCTCGTTTGTAGATGAAACCAGAGGAAACCAGTATTCAATAAAAAGGTCAACCGTCAAGGATTGCAATTAGGAGAAGGACAGCACATACATTACAAATCCAGTAAAAACCCGTTTAGAAATGACGCGGTAAACCGCCGGGTACAAAAAAAACAACGGCGCTGCCAGTTTACCGCTGAATATCTGATAATTTTGTTTAACCATCCAGGGAAGCCTCATCAGCATCGATACTGTTTTTCCTGGAAGCGTTGCAATTATTATTCAACCCAGCCTTGCCATTATGTATAAACTATCGGGGGCGACCCAAGGTTATTTGTTAGGGGGCGAATGGGCGCGTTTGCAGGGGGGCCGGGGTGGGGGGGGGGGGGGGGAGTGGGTGTCTGAGAGGGGATTTGCTCCCCTGAGAAGTTGAAGTTTTTTTTTAAATGTATGCATAAATGGCTTTATTTATATAGTGCTTACTTTTTGCCAAATTAGAAAGAAAAACAGTCTTAAGTTCAACTGACAAAAACAAAAACACAGGAGGGGGTGCCGCAAATTAAAAAGTAATCAAATCAAAATAATTTAGGATGGCTTACCTTTAATGATGGGAAATGCTTATTACTGCATCACAAACATTCACTACTTTTGATTTTCTTTTGTCGAAAGTACGGTTTCAGCAATCGAAGTCACTAAATGAAAGCTCAGCAGAAACACTAAGTACGAACGGGTCACCATATTTTTCAGATGGGCAATTGTTATAGATGAATATGTCGTTTCCATTGAACAATCGGTCATTAGGTTTGGGAAATATACAAGGGATCAATTTGATTTTTTTCAGTTGGTTAAAGATTCTTCGTCGTCAACCAATGTTTGAACTTTCGGTAATGTGAATGAAATAATGACGCGTCTATATCTGATCGCCTGATTTAGCTTGCTTTTTCTTTATTTTCTTTTTTTCTTTTCCCTTTCCCCCGCCCTCCCTTACGTCATAATTTACATTTTATAGTTCTCTTCCTCCTGGCCTTCCTCCTTCTCTTCCCCTTCCTTTTTTTTTCTTTTCCTTATTTTCCTTTCTTTCTCCTTTAGCTCTTTCTCCTTCCCTTCCTCTTCCTAGTTTAAAAAAATGATAGGGGGCGGTCACCCCCTGCCACCCTGTGGCGCCGCCCCTGAACTTAATTACACCTGGGTTTAGGGTGGCAAATGAGGATGTCTTAAAAGAGGATGTCAGTAGTGCTGGGCTTGGATTCGAACCATCAACCCTTAGATTAAGAGTCAGGTGAATAAACCACTACACCACAACACATCCACATTTTGAGGACCCCACAGGTAAAGCGGGCGTTTTCCACATGGGCACATGAGAAAGATGTGCACACCCATTCTGTTTTTTCTGTCGGCAAATACTGAATTTCTCAACTCAAGTCTAGTTGGATAATCCTCTAAACTGATTTTCTTTTCTCCTGGGAGTTTGGAACAATTTTGGAACACCAATAGCCTATAAATAAATAATAATAATAAAGACGACAAATTGTTATTATTTGCCTGTTGTGAAAATCCGTTACTAAGTTGTCAGGCGAGGGATATAAATAAAACTTCCTCGCGTTCAAAGAGGTCTAACGACGCCCATGGGAGATTTTAAAAACATCCATTATCTGCTAATGCTATTCACTGATCAGCGTCGCTCATATCCGTGAGACGCAATTTGATATAATATATTGTGTATTCTCATGCTTATTTCCTTTCCAATGCGCATTTCTCTTTCCTCATCTTCTTCTCAACCCCACACGCAGCTCAGCATAATTTTGTTTTAATTTTCTGTACCCCCGATCTCTCACTTCTTTTTGGGGGGAATTGTCTACTCTTTATGACCGTGTTCTTCTATCTTTGTCATGTCATGTAAAGTACCGTCTTTTCCCGTTCTCGCCTCTGTTGGCATACCCCCCCCCCCCCCATTTTGTAGTTCCTTTTGTAGTTACGGACTTGTTAATTTAATTACTAATTATATAATTTATGTATCATTTGAGATGTTTACACTTGTACAAGCAGTGGTTTATATTGGACCCCTCTGTTTCCAACATGTATTTTTACATGTTGAAAATGTTTATAATTGATTTTGTTTTGTTGGAAATATGAATAAATTGAAATTGAAATTGACGTGTAAACCACAGGGCCCTTTTTCAATAAATTATGGCCTAATTCTGTAGCGCCATCTTGCGGTATAAACAGTCAAGGGAATCTTGAGACCCGTCTTGAGACGCAAGCCTCCCATCGTGGGGACAAGGAAACAGAAATCAGAAGAATAAAAAGGAGAAGAAGAAGAAGATGAAGACAAAGAAAATGCAGAAGGAGAAGAAGAAGAAGGAGGAGAAGAAGAAGGAGGAGGAGAAGAAGAAAAAGAAGGAGGAGAAGAAGAAGAAGATGAAGACAAAGAAGATGAAGAAAGGAGAAGGAGAAGATGAAGACAAAGAAGATGAAAAAGGAGGAGAAGAAGGAGAAGATGAAGACAAAGAAGAAAGAGAAGAAGAAGAAGAAACAAAGAAGAAAAAGGTGAAAAAGAAGGAGACGAAAGAGAAGAACAAGAACAAAAAAAAAAGAAGGAAAAGGAGGAAAAAAAAGAAAAAGACACAAAGAATAAGAAGTAGAAAGAGAAGCAGAAGAAGCAGAAAAAGGAGAAGAGGAAGGAGAAAAAGGAGGAAAAGAAGGAGAAAAAGGAAAAAAAAAAGGAAAAGAAGAAGACATAGAAGAAGAAAAAGGAGAAGACGTAGAAGAAGAAGAAGAAGAAGAAGAAGAAGAAAAAGAAGCGAAAGAAGAAAAAAGAAGAATATAGGGAGATACATGTACTAGAGAAAGTAATAGACAGGATATCAAGTGGAAGCTGGAGAAAGAAGATAAGATCCTGGGTTCTGTGAGGGACACAATATGGCGAGAGATAGATGGGACAATAAAGAGAACATACAAGAGGAATAGGAGAAAATGAGAGAGATAAAGAGAAATGCGACAGAAGGAAGACAGGAATATTAAGAACGAGGAAACAATGGGGTAAAAGAAAAGTTTGGAAGGTGCAGACAGAAAGAGAGAGAGAGAGAGAAAGGGAGAGATTGAAAAGGGGTGAAGACTATAAAAGGCAAAAGACACGTACATGTATTTATATATGTTACCCTTAACACATACTTTCAAACAACATTCTAAGAGACTCGTGAACAATTTACAGTTTCAGTGTAAAATTTATTTTCATTGTCATTTTGAGAATACATCACTCAACATTTTGACAAGACAGTACAAATAACAAATATTTCCAATCCATGTAGACAGCAGATAAAAAAGTTTCACATGCAAAATTAAAGTTAGAGTACATGTGGCATTTGATTATTTCCTAAATTTCATTTTAAACCCAGTCAGGTTAAACATACAAATAGAAATAAAAATCGATGTCAGAAATTGCTTTAATATTAAAAACATAAAGATGGGAAATGTCATAGTGATGAAATTAACAGATATAAACCAATAATAGAAGTTCATAATTTGGTTATGACAAGATACAATCCTTCAGCTAAATAAAACAAATATGCATTTAGAAAAATACAATAAAATGGGAGTACTGGTATAAATAAAAGGGGAGAATAAAGTAACAGAACAAATATATCATTGAAAAATACAAAACATGTTTTAAAAAGGTGATATAATTGCTTTACTCAGAAGTGGGTCCTAAATATACACAATACATGACATACTCAGGGAATGTGTGCTAATAAAGGAAAGAGACAGAATTGTGATTTATTTTTGGTATTTATGGATATTACCGGTATGTCACTTGTCTAAGGATTCTATTGACATACTCCACACAGTTTAAAGCAATAAATTTACCGGTACCATCTTTGGTGAGAAAAAAAAAATCTTTGATTTAAAGGACAAACAGGAATGTTGATTTTCAGATGCACTGATGAAGATTGAAATGAACACGGACCAAAAAAAAAAAGGTTATGAAAGAAAACATGAAATTAAACAACAAAAAGCAAGCAAAAGCAATATGGAATAAAATGTCACCAATAAAAATCCCCAAAATAATGGCAGTCTAAATAAAGAGCTTGAATTTTAACAACAGAAAATTAGTTTTCAGCATAAGAATAAAAACAAAGGTCAGATGAATTATATTCTTCACCACATCATTCAGATTCACTATCACAAGTTTAAAATTAACGGCTTAAAAACAGAAATATAAACTACTGCAACAAATTTACTTTTAGAGTTGATTAATTGAATTTTTCCAATAAAAATAAGATCGTGTAAGTAACATCGTTTCTGAATTCCCCAATGTCATCCTTACAACCTAATTGCTTTTTTGTAAGATGGAAGATGTTAAGATAATGTGAACAAATTATCCAAACACATTTTATATATCATACATGAAACTGAATGCACCACAGTATAATGACCAGATTTAATCATCTTTATATGAAAATGAAACAAGGTATTCAGAGCTCAGAATGACCCATTTCCCTCATACATAAAATCAAGAAAAGAAAGAATAATTGCACAATTAGGACATAAAAACTAGACACCGTGTATGCTACTATGAAAACTAAAACAAAGTTACATCATAAACCACATAAACATGTCAACAATCTCTACTACGATGGAAAATCTAAACACAACCACAGAACAAAGACAACTCCAAAGCATACCGGGAATCACTTCAATGTCGCAAACCAACAGAAGCTAGGTCTAGACTTCTGCATCCTCCTTTCACCAATCACAGCACAGAACTGCATCTCATCTTCTCACGGCAATCCACTTCCAAACATAGCCATGCATTCATTCAAACAAGAAACAAAAATGAAAAATTCTTCTTTTATTTCAGATCCCTGAAAGTATATAAAATCAGTGTATGTTACATATTCATATTTTCCAAATACCGGTAGGAGCAAATGAATGTACAATTAAGTTGCCACTTGTACTTAATATAACAAAAAGAAATATGTATTTGGTGAATTTCTCTAATCAATCCATATAAATTGATAAATGCAGGTGGATGATAATTTGTGACATGATTACCCACTGTATTGCCTTTGCTATTGCAATAATTATCAAAAGCTTGTCTTGTTGAAATTTCCAGTTAAAAAAAAACTTTACCACGGAGCTAGCAATGCCACTGTTGAAAGAGATACCATGTTTGCAAAAATGTATCTGAAGGAAACTTATCATCAAATTGCGTACATGACAAATTCCACACACAAAATGCATTTCTAACTCTCTTTTCAATGAAGTATCTATTACTTAACAGCGGAGTGGTGGAGAGTATATTGTTTACTTTGACATCCATGATATTGTAAATAAATGATGAACAATATCAACAGTATGTACATGGCATGCCTAAGCAATGCTATTTTGCATCTAAAACAACAAGCAACATCAATACACAGAGTGAGAAAATAGATACAGTACTTTCAAGATGTATTCAATAGTGTAAAAAAGATATTTACAACTTTGTCCTGATCGAGTTGAAATTGCTCATGAAAAACTTTCGATTTACATCACCAATTCGTTATTTTACATAGCAAAGAGAGAGGCTAAAATCTATGATCGGTAACATTGAAAAGGGACAAAGTAACTATTTCATATTGTAAATATGATTTTGAGTTAACTGTAGAAAAACAGTAATATTTCTCATTAGAAAAATTGTAGTTATAAAGCATTGACCAAGTGCAACTATATGTATGTACCGGTTGTGTGCTTCTTTGCTCATAATTTCAGATCCACTTTCCTTTTTAGACGCATGTATACCAAACATTTGAAACTATCAGAGCACATATCAACTTTACAGTTGAAAATCAACAAGACTACAAATACAATGAAGTTTATAGCTAGTGTCCTTTTCACGGTTTAGTGGCGACAAAATGATACAAACATTTGCATGCAAACCTAGATTCATTTTCACACATCAAAGTACGGATATATTCTCTCTTTCATAGCTCACATCTATTAGCAATATGTGCCAATAATAATTTAAAACTCATTTAAAATTGGTGCCGAATTAACCAAACTCTCACAGCACATCAAGAGGGCATAGTTTTGATCACACTCCTTAAAGGTAAAGACCAGTATTGGAAACGCCCAAAATTCAAAAAATGAAATGCAAGCTCTTATTACCAATCATGTGAAAGAATATGTTTTGAATAATACATGATGATAAAAATGTTGACGGGAAACCGCCTACTAATTGATATATTTGGTAAATTAGTGTATCTCTCGCCTGTTGAGAGATACAAATGCACGTGTCGCGCACGTGTGTGTAGTCCCATATACATCTTTCTGTGTACAGTGATTCTAACTTTATGAAGACTTGACCAAATTTCTTATCATTTTGATGATTCCAGAACCTTGCAGTACATCTATGCTAGATGATCAACCTTTTCTGATCGATTTCACAATGTTTCTTTCACAATGCAATCGCATGACCATAACTGGTCTTTAGCTTTAACCAGTGCATTCGGGTAAAAATGGGTAAAAATTGCAGTTTCTTTTCAATCTAGTCTAATTTTTGTATACAATTCCCTTCACCTGCTTTACAGCACCTTAATGAGTATTAGGACACTATATAACGTTACTATATGTAAATATGTATCTAAAAAAAATTACATACAGAGTTATTTAAAGGTTGTACACCCCATTAAGTTTCCTAGTAAAAAAGCCCAGCCTAGAGGCTTCAGCTCAGATTAATTAAGATAGATTAGTCCTAGCATTTAGGTAACTCCATGCTAAGTGATGGTTGCCAAGACCATAGGCTACACCCGCTGAACCGACCATGTCAATCTCACAAATTTTAAGAAGATTCACAAGATAGACTTTTTTGGTCTCTTGGACCAGCAGTCTCCTGGGTTGTCCCACAAGATGGTAGTCCAATGGACAAAAAATGAGCTAAAACATCATCAAGTAAAGAATGCAGGCATTTATCAGGCATTTATGTCCAGTATGAATTATATAGTACATGGCCCACTGCATTATTATCCTCTTAAAGATAAACTCCAGTACTGGTAAAAAAAAAAAATTAATTCTCACAGAATCAAACGAAACTTACACTGAATGTTCAAGATTACAAATAAATGACATGTGCCAAACAATTTTGGAAGAAAATGTATACTGGCTGAGTAATGAGCATAGAAAGACAAGGAAACCAAGGTAGTACCATCCCCGACACGATGTGTGTTGTCCCATATATAGCTTTCTATGTGAGTGTTTGTTACTTTACCAAGACTCGGTCAAATTTATTATGATTTTGATGACTCCAGAACCTTGCAGTGCACACCAATACTTACATGCTACATGATCAACTGTTTCTGATCCTTTCACACCTTTTCTTTCACAATGCAATCGCATTACCAGTACTAAAGTTTAGCTTTAATGTTATATCGATAGTGAACAACTAAAATCATTCTGTACTATGCTTTAACTGAAAATTCTACCCCTTTTTCCTACAACTCACCTATGTTATTTCCTTCTCTCTCTCTCTCTCTCTCTCCCTCTCTCTCTCTCCCTCTCCCTCCTCTCTCTTCCTCCCTTTTCTTACACCCCCTTTATAAGTCCCTTACATCTTGCATCCTCTCTCACCCTCATCCATCTCCTCCTAACTCATCATCTAAAAACTTGATCAAAAATGATCTCCTCTCTTAATATCCATTTTGCTCCACAAAAGTTGATCCACCATTATCTCTACTCTTTCAATGTCCAATTTGCTCCTCTTCATTTCTCTCTCTGTCTCTTCTCTCTCTCTCTCTCTCTCTCCCTCTCTCTCATCAATCAGTCTTCCACTTGGTGACTTTGATGAGTGTCTCTGGAGAGCGGTAGAGGAAGATGAGCTTGGCGGTTAGGTCCTCCTCCAGCTCCAGCTCGTTGCTCTCCCTCACCAGGTAGATGTCCAGACACAGCTTCAAGATGCGGTCCACGTTGGGCAGCTCGTTGAACATGATCTGGTAGGAGAGGCCGCTGAACGACATGCGTAGGAAGCGGCCGATCACAAGGACGAGGGACACGTAGAGACCGATGATTCTGTGCAGGAGAGAGAATGAGAGCCATACTTTGGTTAATGGTTGGTCATCAGTTTTGAAATTATTTTACTTGAAGGCATCGTTTAACAATATTAAATCTGAGATGCATAGCCCTACGTGTTATCAGTGTCTGTGATACGGTGTAATATAGAAGCCCTAAAAAATTGCCCTTCAAAATGATCAAGAAGTGCCTCAAAAAAGTAAAAATCTTTGAGTGACTGGTTTTTACCATACTCATTTTCTCCAATAGACTTCGATTTCCAATCATAAATATCTTGATAATCGGCTTGTAAAAGTCATAGGGTTCCTGACTGACCTAAAGGTTTACAATTATCATTGCAGCATGAGCTAAATCCAGGATTTTGTTTCACAATCTGAGACAAAGTTACCCAATCCCTTTAACACATTATAATAAATTTATGATAATAATTTTTTAGTTGCATCTTCATTCAACTGCAAATCATGAATACTCAATTCAACAACTCTGACTAAACAAAGTGACCCCCGATGAAATGAATCGATGCCCAAAATTCCATCACCCAATGTCCAAATAATCAACTCAAAAACACCTTGACATCTTCCAAATTCAATTCCATTACCATATATTGATGCCCTCTCCTTTACACACAAAAAAGAATGGATGCACTTTGTTACATCAATGAAATTTTAAATCATCTCAACAAAGAAAAAGACACCCACTTCTGCTTAATAGAATTACCCCTTTGACCATTGGATTCTCTTGCTCCTCTAGGGTTAATGCAGGAACAATCCAACTCCCACAGAAACTAAGTTAACTTGGAGTGGGACACACTGGAGAATAGAAGGAGGGTTGCTAGACTTCAACTCTTGTACAAGATCATGAATGGAGAAGTGGGAATCAAGGTTGACACATACATTCTAACCAACAACAGAGGGGGCACAAAAGACTAGAGGGAACAGCAAAAGAAGGACGTGCACAAGTACTCATTCTTCCACAGGACAGCATCAGAATGGAACCTACTCAAGGAGGAAACAGTTATGTCTACCTCCAGTACAGTCTTCAAGCAGAAACTTTAAATGTGAAACACCTCTCCTTCCATAGCACACACACGACCATACTAATCAAAACGTTGGTGAAGTACAGTTAACCCTGAGTATACCGATGCAACCGAAACCAAAACCGAAACCGAAACTTACCCATAGCTTGAGAGCGGTGCAAGTAGTTCCGAGGCTACCCTATCGTTGAATGTGAGTATCCGGATGATTGTACTTTCGTCAGACAACCCATCTTCCACCTCCCACCATTCCTTGGTCCCGTTCAAGTTTAGGATCTCACCCTGCTCAAGGTGAAAGGAGGCATTGCCATAACCCTTTCCTAGAAGATAAAATGGTGAAAAAGCATACAGAACAATGAATGTTAGTGACGTTTGATCTTCTTGGTAATTAAAGTAATGTTAATTTGTTAAGTTATGTCAGAAATATTTGATCTTCTTGTCAATTTAAGTAATGATAATTTGTTAAGTTATGTTAGTAATATTTTGCTTTCTTGGTAATTGAAGTAATGTTAATTCCATTAGTAATATTGATATTTCTTGAAGTAATCTTGATTGTATTATTATTATTATTAATACCAGAAGTATGTGGGCATTTGGAACAGAAGGCACTGCTTGCATGCAAAGCAAACGTGTCCATAAAATGGATACAGATTTTTCTAATGGCTTGTTGATATATTCTTGGTAAATCCCTTCAGTTTACTGCAGGCTTGCTTTAAGCATACTGCACTTCAATTTTTATGCCTCCGCCACCGAAGGTGGTGCCGGAGTCATCATGTTTTCGGGTTGTCCGTCCGTACGTCCGTACGTCCGTCCCGTTTGACCGTTATCACAATATCTCAAGAACCATTTAAGATTTAAACTTAAGACTCGGGAATAGTATTTATCACCATAGGAAGACGATCTGATTAGATTTTGGAGTACGTAGGTCAAAGGTCACAGGTCACAGAGGTCAACTTATGAAATTCCTTGTATTGAGTTTGTTAGCGCGATATCTCAAGAACCATTTGAGATTTAAACTTCAAACTTAAGGATAGTATGTATCACCATAGGAAGACGATCTGATTAGATTTTGGAGCACGTATGTCAAAGGTCAAGGGTCACAGAGGTCAACTTATGAAATTCCATACATTGAGATTGTTATCATGATATCTCAAGAACCACTGGAGATTTAAACTTCAAACTTAGTGATAGTGTGTATCACTATAGGAAAACAATCTGATTACATTTTGGAGCACGTAGGTCAAAGGTCAAGGGTCATAGAGGTCAACTTATGAAATTCCATACATTGAGATTGTTATCATGATATCTCAAGAACCACTGGAGATGTAAAAACTTCAAACTTAAGGATAGTATGTATCACCATAGGAAGACGATCTGATTAGATTTTGGAGCACGTAGGTACAAGGTCAAGGGTCACAGAGGTCAACTTATGAAATTCCATACATTGAGATTGTTATCATAATATCTCAAGAACCACTGGAGATTTAAACTTCAAACTTAATGATAGTGTGTATCACCATAGGAAGACAATCTGATTAGATTTTGGAGCACGTAGGTCAAAGGTCAAGGGTCACAGGGCTCATTATGTATGCAAAAACAGCTTGTGATCGCGTTTTCTGAACAACCGATTGATGGATTCCTGCCAAACTTTGGTCATGTATGTATCTTGCAGAGCTGATGAACTGATTAGATTTTGGGGTCACGAGGTCAAAGGTCAAAGGTCACAGGGCTCATTATGTATGCAAAAACAGCTTGTGATCGCGTTATCTGAAGAACCGATTGATGGATTCCTGCCAAACTTTGGTCATGTATGTATCTTGCAAAGCCAATGAACTGATTAGATTTTGGGGTCACGAGGTCAAAGGTCACAGCGCACATTGTGTATGCAAAAACAGCTCGTGATCGCCTTATCTCAAGAACCGATTGATGGATTCTTGCCAAACTTAGGTCATGTATGTTACTTGCAGAGCTAATGAACTGATTAGATTTTGGGGTCATGAGGTAAAGGTCAAGGTCATGCGGCTCATTATGTATGCAAAAATAGCTTGTGATCGTATTATCATTAGAACAGATTGATGGATTCCTGCCAAACTTAGATCATTTATGTATCTTGCAGAGCCAATGAATGGTTCATAAGATCAAAGGTCATGGGCTCATTATGTATGCAAAAATAGCTTTTGGACGCATTCTCATTAGAACAGACAGATGGATTACTATTTAACTCAGGAAATCTTGCAGAGCCAATGAACTGAGTAGATTTTAGGGTCATGAGGTCAAAGATCAAAGGGTCATATATGTATATGAGAAATTGCTTGTAATCACGATATTCTGAGAACATGTTAATGGATTACAATTGAACTTGAATTTGAAAAATTTCTTCCGTTTCGGTTTGTAAAATTGCTCTATGACGGAGGCATCATTTTCGACTGCGCGCAGTCGAATTCCATCTAGTTTAAAATGTTATAACATGCAGATAAGTGAGAACATGTACTAACGTAAAAACAAGGACACCATGGTCTACTGTGCTACAGGTAAATAAACCTTTAGAGTGGAGGGATACAATGTTGAGTAATGTTTATTTTCTTGTATTGCATAACTCAAAGCAACCTTTCCTATGATGTATGACTGCAAACACATCATTGCTATTTAAAGCCTGTCTGCACTAGTTTGGCCAGGAGGGATTAGACCTCCCTGCATGGTCACTGATAGGTGGTTTTCTCATCAAATCAGCTCTCAGTTAACATTTTTTAAAAGGGGACCATGGGGGACCAATGGTCACCGCTTAGGCATTGTTTGCTATATAGAGGGCGCAAGAAGCTATAAGTAGTGCAGTGGGGCTTTAAAACATCCTTCCATAATTTGATGTAGATGGATTGTAAAGGCTTATGCTGCCACAGGGTTTAGAATCATTGCATACATTTCCAGGTTTAATATTACTTTCTGATGCAATTATACCACCAAAAAACATAGTTTTGAGCACACATTCAATCTGACAAACTTGATAAGAACACTGCACTCACTGTCAAGTAATACGGTGACTGGCTCAGGGCTGGACATGGCAGGCACCTTGATGTACGATGGAATGAAATTCTCCAACACACTGCAGGTTAGTAGGAAAGAAAATTAAAGACGACCCATCATTAATCAAAGAATGTCACGCTTGATATCGAAGGGGATATGATGTTCATGTAAATAATAAAACTTCCCCTTTTTAAGTTAATTTATTTATATATTTATTTGAATTCTGAACAATGAGGTTGAGATTGGTGAGACCTATGACCATAACCATATTCTGGTCAGAATTCAGAATTAGTCAGAATTAATGTGAAGAATTCTAATGATTTTATATCATCATAATGACATGTTTCATAAATTTTGGTTGAAAATGCACTAATTTTGTGTTTGATTGATTACAAATTTATAAAATCAGAACTTTCTTTTAATCATATTTTGCTCAAACTTTGACTGATTATCTGCTATCAAAACCAATCTAATATCAGAATGGAGTTCCACTTTAAATGTAATAAAAATATAAGAACTATATTAAACTGCATGATTGATTTCTTTGTTATCTCACCCTGGCGCAGATGAATAGAACTGAAGCTGTTCAATCAGTTGATTTTTGAATTCATCATATTCTTCCGTCAGTTTTACATCACGGTTGTTCTCTACCGTCGGTGTGACTCCGGTGTTACTAGTAATCCTGAAAGGAAAGAGAAGATCGCAGATCAAAAATCATTCTATAAAAAAATTTATTCAAAGAAAAACAAGATGATTTACTGTCCAGTAAGTGCTCCGGCACTGAAAAATAGGAAGTATATACACCGATTCGGTTTGGGGGTTTTATGTACCTGCCCGCCGGTGGCGGCGCTATAACTGGGGGGCTTCTCCGATCCAGCTGACAGTACAGAGAGCTCAAGAGCGGTTACTAGCTAGCGGAGCAGCGACCCTGGCCGGCCTGGGCGAGGTTCGGTATAGGTATAGCATACCCGTTGAGCGATCGATTCTATTAGCTGCAGTCAGACGCCCCCCAGTTATGGCGTCACCTTATGAGGGCGCACTTCCACCAGAAGTCGCCCGAATCGGTGTATACCGGTGCAGATAATTCTTTCAAGGGCCAGATATATAGTGTAAATGAGCATAAGATCTCTGTCTGAAATTGATGTTCCTATTTTATTTCTATTTTTAACATTGCAAAACATTAGGCCTTGGAATTTCACTTTGTATATTATAATAAACATAATTGAACTGAATTAAAAAAGTATTTGCATTCCTAAATCTTGCAATATCAAATATGAATGGTAGAGTGAGTCATCCTATGATTTGACATAATGCTATCACAACGATACCTGTGCATCAATACAAATTTGTATTTCTTTATTCAAATGTAACAGAAATTGATAGATTCATAAGAAAAGCCTTAAAGGGACTTGGTAACATAGTTTAGATGAGAGATAGTGGTGCTAAGGTAGTGAATTCAATGCTAGAAGTATAATTAAAGATAATCTGAAAATTTGATTAAAAACGGACCAAATGGTACAAATTGGGAAAAACTGAACTGATCGATTCCTTAATTCTCCCAACTATGTTATTACAATTTAATTACATATTAGGTGCATGTAAATCGTCAGGAAGCAATAAAATGGCTCTACATTCCATTCCAGATATTTAAGTGTTGACAGATTATTTATAGCCTGTTTTATGTCCTTTTTTCATGGAAAACGGACGGGAAAATTCAAAAATGGTTGGGAGAATTTACTGTTAATCACTGTTAAATGGTGTCGTACATCGACGCCTTCAAAGTAAACCATAGATATCTTTGTGGTTTGAGATTTTTTTCAGGATTGTTTGCATGTCAGAGGGTTAGTACAGTAGAAGGAATATAGTAATTAACATTTTATACAAAAATTAAGCAATTTTTTCATCAACCTTCAACAATGTTACCGAGTCACTTTAAAGACATTCAGTATTTCAGATGCATTTAAACCTTCATAATTCAATCAAATTCATTGAATGTGTAATTGAAATCGATTCAACTTTTATTTAAATACAATATATATATATATATATATATATATATATAAAAAACATGTATTCATGCTAATGTGATTGAGACAGAGTAAGTGTAAATCATAAAAATGTATTCTTCACAGGCAGCATCTCCTGAAAGAAAGGACAAATCTTAATTGAGATTAGAGTTGCATATCTGACAGCTAGATATACAGAAACAAATCAGTTCCGCACCTTTGCAAGCACTTCGGTTTTCTTTAAAGCTACCCAAAATGATAAAACCTTCCAATGCATGCTCATACATGTAAACGTTCTTACACAAACAAAGGTCAGATAGAAACGAACCTGATGATATGCGAAGAAAAAAGAGAGAGAGAAATCTAATTGTTTCAGGTACTGACCAGAGTATATCAACAGGCGGACATGCGTCAAAAGTGTTATCATGTCAAGAAATTCAGTCTTTACAATAAAATCACAAAGTAATTATTGTCCATTTGGACAAACAGACAAACAGCGTGTCACAGTTGACGATAGAAACAGCCACGTTACTGGTATGGCAACATCAACTACCTACAAAACACTTTTCAGAGTATTTTCAGATTTGTCAGACGGATTTTTATCGTTTAACCCTGGTTTCTTTTCAGCCCCACCATGCCTGTCAGGAAGGAATAAAAAATAAAATAAATCTTTGATTGTTTAACTTCTAGCATAACTATAAATTACACATTCTTCTATGATAGGGATATTTTTATACTAAACAGAGAACAAGTACTATTTTATAATGGCAATGACACTTCTGGGAGATTTGGACTACAGAAATTATCCTATGTTATTGTATGAAAAATTGTGTAATACTGAGATTTAAAAAAAAGTAAACACAACTACCCACATTTTGATTTATACACTGTTAATCAGAAACTTTGTGTGCATGAAACTTTTGCAAATTTTATGCATGGTACAATTTGATAAGAGTTTCATGCAAAATTGACACTACATTTCTGCATTTGCTAGTTTCTTGCCGCAAAAACAGCCATCTTGTTTACAATTTAAAAAAGTTTCAGATCACAAAAGGGTCTTCTTGGAATGATTGCAAAGCAAAATATTATGTATTTTGGCAACAGTTTTTTAAATCGGTCCAAACTTATTCATATACACGTGGAAAATATTCATGATAATGCTTCTAATCTAGGGTAGAGAGTGCTTACATATATTCATTTTTTACTTCAAGATTTCACCTCAAATGAGGCGACTAATTAACCCTCATTAACTGCATCATTACCTGGTGAAGGAATACTTGAAGGAGATATATAGGTCATCATTTGACTGAAGGCTTGTGATCAGGTTCTGTCTACTCGGTGGACTGATGTCCCACGTTCCTGTTGAGTTGCCACTGATGGCAGCAGTCCAAACGTCCTCTTGACGATATCCGTCTAGGAAGGATCTCGCATTCTGAACAAAGGATACAGATATATGCGGAAATGACAGCAAACAACTTCTAAGAACCAATGAAATGTAGGGAGTATCATGGATATTCATATGCATGCTTTTTGGCAATGATCTTTCATAAAACTCCATGACCTCTTCAACTCAATCAAGTCAACTTTAACTAGCTGTTGGCTAATGAACTCTCTTTCCCTAGGCTAAATACAAGCACCAAGATCATGTACATGTAGACAATGGGTTCATATATAAACCTCTGAAAATGGTACTTATAGGCTACTATAAAATTTCTTCAAGAGATCACACACTCATCATTTAAAGGGATCCGGTAACTTTGTCCCAGATTCTGAAATAAAATTCTGGATTTAGCTCATGATGCAATGATAATTATAAACCTTTAGGTCAGTCAGGAACCCCATGAATTTTACAAGCCGATCGCCTGTCTGATCATCAAGATATTTATGATTGGAATTACAAATTTTGAAAACTGTTCGCCTGACGGTTTTCATAACACTACAGTCTATTGGGGAAAACGAGTATGGTATAACCGGTCACTCAAAGATTTTTACTTTTTTGAGGCACTTCTTGATCATTTTGAAGCGCGATTTTTTTAGGGCTTCAATGTTACACCATATCACAGACACTGATAACATGTAGGACCGTGTATCTCAGATTTACCATTGTTAAACGATCCCTTTAACATACTTTGGAACTAATTCCTCTTGCCTACCACTCACTGAATACAATCCCTATGTCAAAACTGACCAACAAATGTATTTATATACACATTAGAATCATCTCTTTGGGAAAATTCCACACAATAATGAAACAGAAATATACATCTGACACAAGGTTTGTAGATTTAGCTATGACTGCTTTAATGTTCGAGGCATAGTTGTTTTTATAGGCTCTCGGGGAGGTTACATCGTGCTATCACCCCTCGGCACGCCTCGGGATATAGCCCAATGTAACCTCCCCTTGAGCGTATAAAAACAACTGTCTCTCATAGCAGCCATTATTTACTACTACTTTGCTCGCAGTTGATTATCTCTACAATATATCTGTATTATTTTGTCTGATGAATTGGTTTTCAGATTCAGTTGCAAAGGTGGAATGGAATATGAAGAGGCCTTACCAAGTCCTTCGCAAACTCTTTATTGAGATCATCCCAAGCAGTGGCATCAATCATGTTCAAGTCTCCTGTCTGAGCACTCATTTTGAAGATGGGCTGAGGAAAGGAAAGACATTAGATACCATTAAGTTTAGAAATCTCTCTCTCTCTCTCTCTCTCTCTCTCTCTCTCTCTCCCAGGGGTTCTGTCAAAGGCACGTCAACATACCAGAGCCATTTGGTTGGGGTCTGCTCGCTATTTATAAGGACCGCTATTTATGAAAGACCGCGATTCATTTTGTCACGCGTTATGGATAGCGGACCTTATGAATAGCGGTCCTTATGAATGGCGGTCCTTATGAATAGCGAGGTAAATTGTCTATGGTTTGCTCGCTATTTATAAGGGCCGCTATTCATAAAGGACTGCTATTCAGTTTGTCACGCGTTATGGATAGCGGTCCTTATGAAAAGCGGTCCTTATGGATAGCGAGCTTGACCATTTGGTTAGGGTTTTTGTTCCAATCCCTCCATCTTGAGCCTTCTTCATTATCCCATCACATGTTTTGTCATCTATTAAGTCTGACACCATCCCAATTCTTGGTCTACACCTGTATCTCTTCCCCATGGTTTAAAGCCCCACTGCACTACTTATAGCTACTTGTGCCCTCTATATAGCAAATAATGCCTAAACGGTGACCATTGGTCCCCCATGGTCCCCTTTTTTATGTTAATCTTATGTTAATTGAGAGCTGATCTGATGAGATAACCACCTGTCAGTGACCATGCAGGGAGGTCTAATCCCTCCTGGCCGAACTAGTGCAGATAGGCTTTATTCCAGGATGTCTCTGAGAATTTCATTGCCACTTAGATGAAGTTATATAATTATGTTGCTTAATTCACATGATCACATTCATCACACATAAATGATCACAGAAAAAAACCTATAAAATGACAGTAGAAAGGAGTGAAGCACCATGTGACAGAAAAACATTATGACATGTAAACAAAAACAGAAAAAGAGGATAACATAAAAATGAAGAAACAGATTAGATTTTTGTTTGTTAAAAAGAGCAAAAAAAGTGACTCGAAACAGTAGAGTACACCAATACATAGACGGTTGTTATGTGTTAACTGCCAGAGAAAAGTGCCGTAACATTTAGTGTTGTATTATTTTAAAGGTGGGTCAGGTCTGATATTCAGATCTAGTCACAATCTTTGTCACTTAATGTCAACTTTCACCAATGTAGGTGTCCTCGTAATATTCATACTCTTTTAAAGCCTGTTTGTACTAGTTTGGCCAGGGAGGATTAGACCACCCAGCAAGGTCACTGACAGGTGGCTATCTCATCAACTCGGTTCTCAATTAACATAAGAAAAAGAGGATCATGGGGGACCAACAGGCACCGATTTGGCATTGTTTGCTATATAGAGGGCGCAGGTAGCGTTAAGCAGTACAGTGGGCCTTTAAGGACTAGAAAAAAAAAGGGGAAGAAAAGGAGACTTCTTTTTTTTATTCTACGTACCTCAAATCCACCAAAGCTGATTTCAACCGACATTGAAGTGGGCTTGTTCATGACGCTGGTGGTGTTCGCTAACGAGATGAGGATGAGAGGGAACCAGAGAACAAAGATGAGAGCAATCAACATGCCTCCTCCTACTCCATACTTGATAAACCACGGTGTCTTGGTGCCTCGGGGAACAGGGTAGGCCTACGGTAGAGAGAGAGAGTTTTGATAAGTGAATGTGATATAAATCGGAACATCAATAATTTTCTTTTCTCTCACTCTCTCTCTCTCTCTCTCTCAAAAATGAAATAAAAATAAAATGAAATTAGATATTAAAAACAAAATGCCACAAAGGTTTACCCTGTCTTTTAAAGAGGGTTATTAAACCTCTAGAACTGGTAACTCTTGTAGTGGGTTAAATGACATATATCTAAATATGTATACTGGTATATATATTGAGAAAGTGAAAACACAGTGAATGTACATTATCTCAGGGCTGTCAACCCTCCCACATTTGGAGGGAGTCTCACGCCTCCACGCTCATTCTCCCACCGTCCCAATAGCTCGTAGCGGGAGACTCCCGCCAGCACGCCTTTCCTCCCGCTCTCCCGCTTCGATGTAGAATCTCCCGGTTTATGAAAAAAACTCCCGCCACAACCGGGACAACAAAAAAAAGTGCTCTTACTCTCACATTGACGCTACTGTCTGTTTAGATCTACCCGTTCTCCTTTGTTTTACTGTCCACCTCTCTCTCTCTCTCTCTCTCTCTCTCAGCTTTCTATCTTTCTCTATTCCTTTCATTTTCATGTTCTCTTTCTCTTGCTCTCTCTCTCTCTCTCTTCTCCCCCTCTTTCCCCTTTGATTTATCTTTCTCTTTTTACTAGTCCACTTTGCTCTTGCTCTTTCATCCCTCACTTCCCCGCTCTCTCTGATTCTGTCTATGTCTCTGACTCTGACTCTATCTCTGTCTCTCTGCCTGTCTGTCTGTCTGTCTCACTCTCTCACTCTCTTCCTCTCTCTCACTCTCCCTCTCTTCCCCACTCTCTCTCTCTCTCCCTCCATTTTACTCACCACCTCTCTGTTCCTGAAGCACTTGATTGGGTAGACATTAGCATAGATGTCTTCCACCTGCAGCCAGTGACTGAGAGAGAGGGTGGTATCAGTCCAGATCCAGTCCATTAGGGTACGCAGCTCAGTCAGGAATGGAATCACGCGCCATCTAGATACAAATAACAAGTACCAATGTTCAGTTTTGCATGAAGTGATGATTTAATTAATTAATAAGATGTGGGCATAATGTCTTAGCTTGCACAATATGCAAGCAGAATAAAAGAACATACAATGCTGGAATCCAGACAGTGTTTAATATCAGGTTTGGAAGAAAATGACATGTACATATAAATGATGATTTGGCTAGTTTAATACAAATGCTTTATAAACCATAGTAGGTTATAAGTTGAATAAGGTTTGGAAATACTAAACTTCCAGTTGAACTTCTAAAGTTTAACACAAATCAATGTCACATTTGAAATAAAACTCATTTATTGGAACCACTAGAAGATCTATAAAAAATTGCGTCTTACGATTTCAAAAATGAACGTCAGGTAAACTTGCTATGGTCTTTACCGGTTCTTTTCCATCATAAAAAAATTAACACCAAATAATTTCATTTTTATTCATACCAAGATGATTGACAGGTAATCTACAACAAGATCTTTCTCAAATGAAACCTACAAAGTAAACAATTTCTCTTTTGTTTCATCTGGATTGAAATCAACATAGAAATTTATCACAGGAAATACTTTCCCATGAAATCTACGTGGATCAATTTTTCTATTGTTCTAACTGGGTTAAAATCAACTACAGACATTCTTATAGTGTGAAATACACCTTTCTGTTATTTAACAACAAGAAATCAAATCCAGGTCAATAACCTTGAGACTGACCATACAAATATTCATGTTGTGCAAAAGTTTTAAAAAGTAGGTCATCTGTATTATTTTTTCCCCCTCTCTGTTATTAAAACCTAGGAGGCTAAAATGCCAGCTGCTTGTATTTTCTGCAATATTTCATGAACTGGCATTAAAAGTAAAACAATCTTATTATAACTGCCTTTTAAACTTTCAAAATCAAATGCTATTTCTAACTTTACGTGAAATACCCAAGGAAGTATAAAGGCAAAATTTGCCATTACTTAGAAATTGTGCATATATGTACCGGTAGTTTTTTGTCAATAGTATAACAGGGTTGTCCTTGTGTAGATATCTACAATTTCAATAAAATCAGGACTTAGTCCAATTAATGTACGCAGAATGGTTGTGATGAAATAAAGCTTACCCATAGAAGAGAATCAAGCTGACCAGATTGTAGTTTTTGCAGAGGAAATTCCCCAGGATTCTTGTAGGATAACCGGATGTAATCTGATACGCCGATAGACCAAAGTAGATGCAGATGAAGAAATACCAAACCTGTGCAGGATTGTTATCCACGAAAGGCCTGGGGAAAAGTGAAGGGGTAAAAACAGGAGGACAAATATATCAAAATTGTAAAGATTCACTATTCACCCGTTTTTCAAAATTTCCAAAAAACTTTGTAATACCTTTAACAATTTCCTTTTCCTCAAATAGTCTGTCCCATTTTCACCAATATCTACTAAACCTAGGTTGAAACGTAAACTATCACCTCATGCTTCTCATTTATGTATGCACATGTACATCAAGAAAATCCATTTCTTCCTGAAATTTAAAGGTATAGACCAGTTCTGGTCATGCGATTGCATTGTGAAAGAAACGTTGTGGAATCGATCAGAAAAGGTTGATCATCTAGCATATAAGTATTGGTGTGTACTGCAAGGTTTTAGAATCATCAAAATGATAAGAAATTTGGCCCAGTCTTGGTAAAGTTACAAGCACTGTACACAGAAAGATGTATATGGGACTACGCGATATCTATCCAGGCCGGATAGATATGATAATTTACCAAATATATCAATTAGTAGGTGGTTTGTATTTGTATCATCACGTATTAGCCAAAACATATTCTTTCACATGATTGGTAATAAGAGCTTCCATTTCATTTTTTGAGAGGGGGGCATTTCCAAAAACTGGTTTATACCTTTAAAGGTTAAGTTACCAACATTATATGTACTTACTTGTTGTTATATGCAGGCAGAATAAAGAAGAGCCACACATGGACAGCAATGACAAGAACGACCAGGTAGATGAACTTGGCCTTGACGTTCTTGCAGAGATAAATAGCACGGTCGATGACGATGATAACAAACATGCTAAGGAGAAGGAGAAGGAAGCTGATGGGGATTGTGTTGGAGCTGATGAGCTGGGCGACGTCGCTGGTTGCCTGCTCCTCCTGAAATCAGATTGAGATAATTAATTTAACAACATTCTTGTAATGAAAAAAAAAAGCTCCCTATAGCAATGTTAGAGTTCATGAACTACTGCATTCTGAAGATGATAGAATGTAAGAGTAATAGGACTGTATTATCTTGTTCTAACGTTTTCAGAATACAGTCTATTCTTGCAAAAAAAAATTATTAAAAAATTTGTTTACCAGTATACAATGTTTGTCTACTTGATGCATACTTAGAATGTATGTGTAATAGTATGTTTTCTCTTTGTTGTACTCTCATACCCGAGAGGGGGTTAATAGATTTAATACATACTATACTATACTATACTATACTGAGAAGTTAAATATATAATTACAAAAGATAATAATCTCACACAAGGATATATAAAAAGTATAGTATATATATATATATATATATATATATATATACACACACACACAAATAAATATAAAAATAAGACAGCTAAAGTTAAGTCACTTGTGAACATACTGTTTCATTAAATTTCAAATGTTTTATATATGACACTTTCAAATCTCTACACCACACTGTTCATTTTCTGGTAATCCTTTCTTCTTACCCCAAATGCATATGAGAAGAGAGCAATGATGAGGAAACAGATGAACTGTATGCCGAAGATGAAGACATAGACATCGGTGACAGCGCTGTACATCGGATCTATCATGTTGCGGTAGAAATTGACTGCAGGATCATACCAATGCCTAAATGGGTAAGAGAAAAGAGAAAAAGTCTAAAAATTAAGAGCAATACATGACAGATGTGACCGGGAAAAACATCCTTTTGCATCAGTATATTGCGTCTATATGTCTGTCTGTCTGTCTATATGTCTGTCTGTCTATCTGCCTGTCTGTCTATATGCCTGTCTGTCTATATGCCTGTCTGTCTATCTGTCTGTCTATCTGTCTGTTTGTCTATCTATCTAACTATCTATCTGTCTGTCTGTCTGTCTGTCTATCTATCTGTCTGTCCATCTGTCTGTCTATATGCCTGTCTGTCTATCTGTCTGTCTATCTGTCTGTCTATCTATCTATCTGTCTGTCTATCTGTCTGTCTATCTGCCTGTCTGTCTGTCTATCTGCCTGTCTGTTTGTCTATATGTCTGTCTATCTGTCTGTCTATCTATCTATCTGTCTGTCTATCTGTCTGTCTATATGCCTGTCTGTCTGTCTATCTGTCTGTCTATCTGTCTGTCTATCTGTCTGTCTGTCTATATATCTAACTATCTATCTGTCTGTCTGTCTATCTGTCTGTCTATCTGTCTGTCTATTTATCTAACTATCTATCTGTCTATCTGTCTATCTGTTTGTCTATCTATCTAACTATCTATCTGTCTATCTGTTTGTCTATCTATCTAACTATCTATCTGTCTGTCTGTCTATCTATCTGTCTGCCTGTCTATCTGTCTGCATGTCTGTCTATCTATCTGTCTGTTTGTCTTTCTGTCTATCTGTCTGTCTGTTTATCTCAGGGGTGATAGTGAGCACTAAAAAAAAAAAAATAATTTTGTTTTCCCCTCAACCACGCCCCCCTCAAGTAAAAAAAAAAAAAAAAGATCAGCGGGGAAAAAATGGCATCTAACAACATTCCCCTCTTTCGAGTAAGAAAAATTGAGACAAAATTGGGAAAATTGGGGGAAAAATAGGGAAGGAAAACAAAAATTGGTAAAAAAATAATCAGGAAAAAATCAGGAAAAATTTAAAAAAATCAGGAAACTGATTTAAATCGTTTTTTTTTAATCAGGCCTGGTTTATCTGCCTATCTATCTATCTGTCTGTCTGTCTGTCTATCTATCTATCTACATTGTATCTATCTATCTATGTCCCGTAGCTTGGAGGTTCTGTCACTTAAAACAACAGAGAAACAGAGAGGGAGGGGGAATAGAGAAAGAGAGGGAGGGGGAAGAGAGAGAGAGAGAGAGAGAGAGAGAGAGAGAGGGGGGAAATAGTTAAGAAACCATCAAAATAATGAAGGTTATCTCAAATTCCCATCGCTGAAATGGAGAAAAATATTTTAACAAGGTCATTTTCAATATAAGAATGAAGAAATCTTACGGTGGATCCTCCAGCTGCGATAGATCATCTTCAGCAGACCCTAGAGATACCTGGAGTTCTGTATCTTGCACTTCTAGCTGCTCCTCATCATCTGTCGAGAGAAGAACCTCCGCTTTTGCTCCACCTTTAGAAGAAACAATGGAGGTCACTCATGAGTCATTTTGAATTCCATTGCTCTTATTTTTCAGGGTGGATTTACATAAAATAGAATAAATGCACATCTTAATTGTCAATATACTATCAAAAATAGGAGGAAAAAAAAACGTTTTTGAAGTATTTTGTTCAGGGTGTGAACAATAAACAACCCTAAACTCTGAACAGGGAGAGGATTTATCAGAATAAACAAATAAACAAATTATCTTTAAAAAAATTGGGGGGGGGGGGGGTTATCTAGCTGCAAGTTGTGCTGCAGGTTAGAAGCTGAATAACACAACACTCAGACATGGGAAGATGTCAATATTCAGAGAACCTTGTAACAAAAACTTTTATTTATCAACTACATATATTTCTTCCTACCTTCTTCTCCCTTTCCTTTCTTCTTCTTCTTCTCTTTCCTCTTCTTCTTTTTCTTCTTCTTCTTCTCCTTCTTGTCACTTTCTCTATCCACCTCCTCAACCTCCAGATCTTCAGCAGCCCCGTCAGGGTAGGTCAGGGCAGGGACATTGTCCGTTTGCTGGGCGTCTAGATCGGGTAGCACCCTAGACTCTTGCCATAAACCATGCCTCTGTAGGGGTAGAAACACATTTTGAATGTGAACGATGACTTCTTCAACTGTATGAAATATGATGACCGATTTTCTCAAAACCACCTATAAATTACAGCCACAAAAAAAAATTGTCTGTTTGCTGGGCGTCTAGATCGGGTAGCACCCTAGACTCTTGCCATAAACAATGCCTCTGTAGGGGTAGAAACACATTTTGAATGTGAATGCTTACTCCTTCAACTAAATGAAATATGGTGACCGATTTTCTCAAAACTACCTATAAATTACAACCAAAAAAAGACTCACAACCGTTTTAATTTCTGTATCTGAAATAAGAGATCTCATGATATACAAGTACAACTCCTTAAGTTTAATCCAGAAGAACCCACTTAAATATCATGTTATACCAAGTACAACTATTAACATCCATTTCAATAGAGAACTCATCATTCAGCCCACATTTGTTCTGCTGTTAAATTGTAGCTTTTTGAATTGGAGCCCTTGGGTCTAACTTTGAAAGTGAATATCAAATGTAGAAGTGTACAGCGTTATATATTTTTTTCAGTCAGCTAATAATTTTGGAGCCCTAATAGTGTCATGGTTTGATAGAATAGAGTAGAATAGAATAGAATAGAATATATCATTTATTGTCCCAAAACAAAAGAAGAAAGTTTCCATCCAGGTGAATCATATTTCATAAAATTACACAACTTATACAAAATATATAATATTAAGACATTCATATCAGAATATCAAATGCATAAAAAGTATGAATAAAATAAATAAATAATACATACATAAAATACAAATCACATAGAACATAAGGAATATAAGGGAAGAAGACTAGAATGAAGGAATAGAGAAGAATATAGAATGAGGGGATTAAAAGAGAATGTAGCACCAGGGAAAAGTAACTCTGAAAACAATAGACAAGAATTCTAGACAAGAAGCTGCTATTATCATCATTAGGAGGACACAGGTCTTACAATAAGGACGGAGCGATGGAAGAAGACGGCGAGTAAGATACACAGGTCTAAGACTGCATAGTTGGGCTTCTGCTCAATGCCTAGGATCCGAGGGAACCAGAGAGGATCCTTACTGTGTAGATCCTGTGAAACGGCACTGTTCCAAGGGTAAAACTGGAACTGGAACAGGTACTTCAAGATGACAATGATCTGTGGAGCAGATGCACAAACACACAGAGGAAACAAAAGGAAAACTACCTGTTTAATATCAGAGAACTTTAGAATGTAAATAAATGATGCAGGCCAATACATTATTCTACTTATGCTACTGTTCCACTAAATGATGAACTGTAAAACCAGACATCTTTCATAAAATTTCATCAATCATTATTTTTCGTATTTTGTGGCATGAAATCTATATCGCTTAAAGAATTTACAGGAAATTCTCATTTCCAAAACTTTTTGGTGTACAGTATCCAGCAATGTTATCTGAAATTGCTTGCAGCTATTGTTAGTATTTTGGTGTTGTATACATATCATTGGGTCAAATCTAAAAAGCATTTTTGTGTTTTTAATGATCTCACCACTTTTAGCTATTTACAAAAATATTTTTTCATTAAATTATATATGTTCTTTTACAGTAGAATAAAGAATGATTTGATTTGATTACTAGTAGTGAGCTCCACATAAAAGGATATACTGATACAGATACATGTCTTACCAATACAAATACTGGTATATAACAAAAAAGGTCTTCCTTTTCCACTGTCCAAAAATAAGGCCTACAATGTCAAACCAAAGTACATGTAGGTATACTGATGCCGGTATTGGGTCTGCTTGCTATTTAAAACAGACCGCTATTCATTTTATAGTCACGCATTATGGATAGCGGTCCTTATGAATAGTGGTCCTTATAAATGGCAGTCCTTATGAATAGCAAGGTAAATTGTCTATGGTTTGCTTGCTATTTATAAGGGCCGCTATTCATTAGGGATCGCTATTCATTTTGTCACGCATAATGGATAGCGGTCCTCATGAATCATGGTCCTTATGGATAGCGAGCTTGACCCGCTGGTATAGCAGTATACCAATACTGATACTGTTGTCATAATGAATACTGGTATATACCCCCCAAAAAGAAGAGTTTTCCTACCTCTGTGTAGGAGATGACTGTAATCCAGAAAGTCTTAGTCGGGCGGGGCACTGAGAGCATAGCCCAGAGGAAGACGATGAGCACCAGGGGTAGAGAGAGCAGACTGGCAGACAGCAGCTGGTTGAGAATGATGATGAAGTAGCATACCAGCTGCGATTGAGCGACTATGGCGTAGAGGGCAGCATACGTGAGACGAACGGGGCGGATCATGGTGCGACGGAACTGATCGCTGGAGGTGGTCTCCGCCGTGCTGTCGGTTTCATCATTGCCGTTGCTGTATTTGACAATATTAATGCATCGTTAGAACTCATACGTATCATCCACTAGCAACACTGTTCCGCAACCAAAATTATATCCTCTTCCCAAAGAAAAGTTTGACAGTCTTTGAATATTGTATAAGTACAACATTTTTTCCCAGCATGTAGAATCCTATTGTATTTGATCAATTTTGGCAAAAGTACTTGTTCCATTCACTCACGATTTGATGGAGAGAAACGTTTGTTAGTTGTTAATAATATTCCATCGTAATCAAAATTATTGCAATCATAATCAATTACTAGACTGCTCATGAAAAAGTCTCCACTACCCTACCAGTTACACAGCTCTGAAGGAGAAAGAAAAAGGGACAGGCCAAATAGTTTTCCTGTAATATGTTTGAAGTTGGTAAAAAAAAGAGATTTATCGGATATTAAACTGGTCTACAACAATGTTGAAGTGAAAAAATGTTCAGAGTGACTATCTTATAGAACACTGCTGTTTCACAATACTCATTAGTATAACATTCCAATTTGCTACCTCTTTAATTTTACATCTATATCTACGTTATATCTAAATTGATTGATTCGTTATACTCAACCTCTCATTTCTTAATTATGCATTAACAGAGATCAACCATCACTGTTCTACTACATCCTAACAATTATTCTTTTACGGTACAATTAAAATAAAACATGCTTTGGCCACAATTTCTCTAATTTCAATTTAATGCAGTGGCCAATTTCATACATGTAACTCTTGACCCGTTACTAAAACTTTAAAGCTAATCTTCTTTCTTTGGTGTTGTGGCCAATTTGAGTCAAGATCAGTCATACAGGTACGCTGGTTGAATAGCCAGTACACTGTTATCGTCATGTTCGTTTAAGCTTTAAAGTCACTTGGAACTATCCTAAAATCCACTTACAACCCTTATGTTAATCCTTTATTTTAATCCTTCTTTTAATCCTTTATTTTTTATGAAAGAAAGCCTGGAGCAAATGGAGCAGGAAAAAATATAGCATCACTGATACAAACACATCAGCAATGTTTATTAATACATCAAACCAACACACCAATATCAAACATCAAATAAAACGAAGCAGCACCAAACAACTGTATTTCAAGAAATTATGGATATTTCTTATGGTTACTTAGTTTCTGATAAAATTCACAATGTTGTCTTATATTGCCATATTTATTCAAATAGCAAACATTTTGTGATCAAAACTTTTGTGTTCTCAGATTTGTGTAGATATATATTTGCAATTGAAGTTTTTGTTCTTTACAGTACTGAAATTGTCAACAGCCCAATAAATATCATGTCTTTCTTCTCCTAGGAATGATTGAAATGGAGTATCAGAATTCTTCAAGATTACAACCTCTTTTTTCATCCTTATTTAATTATTATTTTTTACTAGATATTGTAATTTGTGCTTTATTAAGGCAGAAGTATTGCTAATGTGCAATTTATTTGATTCTTAGTGATTGCAACCTCATGCATTTCCACTTTAATGTGCATCCTTCTTTTACATTCTAAGAAATTTTGGTGAGGATTGTGAGGAAAACTTTTGAAATCGAACAGCCCAGTTTTGTATTTAAAAAATTTAAAAACAGGTTTGTAGATAACTCTGGATACAATGCAGCATTACTATGACGATGAACTCTCACCTCTGCATGTACCTCTCAAAGGTCAGTTGGGATGTAGGCTCGGGATCGATGGTTACTCTGCAAGCCATGCAAGAAGGGGGAGGGGGGACAGAGGGGGAAGGGGGTGTGGAGTTAGGGGCGTGGCAGATTAGAACAGGAGAGTTTAAGGTGGGGTGTGGCAGCAAGGATAGACAGCCAGCAAGAAAATAAAGACAAATTTTCATGCAGCAACAAAATAAAGAAACAAAATAATAAGGCAGAGTTAAAACAAAAAACTTATTTCACCTGACATGTATGATTGAAAAGAGAAATACATTGAAAGCATAATTTTTTTAACAAAAGCATACCAAATAATACCATTGCATGTATACCAAATAAATCAAAGAAAATGGACCTGTTTTAATGACAAATTTTACCACATAAAATAAGGATTAAAAAGTAAATAACAAAACAAGGAAATATTTTTGCTTGAAACTTCCTGAAATATTACTTCTAAAAGTTTGCTATGAGAGTCGTAAGACTGAAAATTAATTTGAAAAAATAAGAAAATAACAGTGTTAAGGCAGAAGTTATGCTGCCTCAAATTGCTACCCAGTATGATAACAAATTGTCAATTTTTTTCCCATTGTGATTTATGTTTAGATTAAATCCTTCCAACCCTTTTCATTACACATAAAACATAAACCAAGTCTGTGATAAAACAAATACATATAACAAATTCACACGTCATGTAAAACATGACGAACAAAGATATAGAAGAAAGAATAGAAAACAAAATGGTCCACGATTTATGTGGATAGAGTATTAGTAAGCATAAAATATAATCCAAATTATATTTCTAAAGAATACAGCAAATAGAAATATGCATCCCATGAAATGCCAGAAGATATTCCTAGGAAATGGTGAATATGTTTGGAAAGGATTCTGGTGGGGGAAAGGATTCTGGTGGGGGGGGGCACTACTGACTCTTGTTTTTTAAATATTAAAGTGTTAATAGTCATTGGTGAAATGTACCTAAAGCACAATGCCTGTGACCTGAGTTAATATATGCACATGTTAGGTAACCCATCCCAACCCCCAAACCATTCAATCCTTTGTTAATATTACAAGACAGTGTTTTTATTTCCTTGTTCTTGTCATAAATAAGCATCAAGGGAAACTGTTTGGGGGGTATGAACCTTACATTCTAAAGAGGTACACTGTAGTAGTTGCAACTTCATTACATCATAATTCAACAATATTAATAGGATTAATCAGAGCTTGTAATTTCTTCAATAAATTATTGATTCTTTTTACTTCTCTCTGCATATGAGAGGATACAAATAGGATACATTTTAAAAAGATGTGAGGACATTTAAGAACAAAACAGCTTGCCCAATCACACAAACACACAAATAAAACACGAAATACATATACACAGAAAATACACAATCCTTAAGCAAGCCACAAATATCGAAAAACTTTACGCAACATGTTATATTTTAAATATGCACAGGTTTTAACCTAAACCCAGGGCACTAAATTCACAAACAAAACAAACAGCTTTACATCAACATTGTACATGTATGTATCTGCAGAAATAATAAATTAATAGTTTGCACCAGAAAGTCCCATCTTCACTGCACAGTATACAACAAGGCTGCATAAGTATTACATTGCAAGCCAATGCAAAGTTTACAGAAAACAGTTAATTTCTTCTTCTTTAAAAAAAAATGCATATGCCGAACACATGATATAACTTTCAAATCATTCCGCTGCAACATGCGATATTAGTCAAAGCTATTTATTTTAAGGCTAAAGCGGCTTTACAAGACCGTTTGGTTCTGCAGTTCCACACACTTGCTTTTGTGTCCCTTTACAACAATGTACTTTAATGCCTGCCTCCTACCACAACTTCTACAGTCCCACTCATTTGTTTTTACGTTACCTGGTATCCCTGAGAGGGGATCCATTCTCATCAGCAGGGCTTCCTCTTGCACCATCCTCCTCCTCCTTCTTCTCGTCTGCTCCCGCTTTCGTTTCTTCCGTCTTTATTTCTTCTTCTTTCCCACTTTCCCTCCCGGACATGTCTTGGAGCTCTGCAAAATGTTTATGCTTCTGTGAAAGGAAAAAAAAAAAAAATATTTTATAAGTTTTACAAAAACACAACCTAATCAAATATGATTTGTAATGACCTTCTGACATTCTTTACTAAATGATTAAGTTAAGGGTGCTTTCATGGGAGATATAGCACACACTTTAAGCCTGTGATATGTATGTCAACAGGGAAATGCAAAGCTCTTCTCAGAATGATAGAATGGACTGTACAGGAACTGGACACTTTTCAAGCTAAGGGAAATACTTGACTTTGGGGATTTGGCTCAATAATAGTATAGCGCTTAGAAAAATTGGAATTATTTGCTATATGAATGTTACTATTATTATTATCATCATTATTATACATAAATATTTTATATATGTCATAAGTCAACTGAGGCAGTCCAAAGTTGGCTCTATAAGGGGACTAAAGCTGGTAGGGAATTTCCATAAATATTTCTAACTTTAACCTTCAAAGCTCTCTTTCGTTTGCCCTCTGTGGTGAGCTTCTTCAATTCTTTAGCCACGTAGCGGTACTCCTTTGAGATGGCGTCCAAGAAGTTTATGACTGTGTCCACAGAACGTAGGAAGATCAGCCACGTCAGGGCGAGGGTGCTCTTTATCTTTCCAACGACACCTTCAAATTCAAGTTTCAAAGTTTCAAGATTATTTGTCTTTCTTCCAACATGAATGTAATACACTTTAACAAATTTAAAACATATAGAGTATATAAAAGGAACACTTATAAGGAACAAGTTCATATAATGCATTTACTGTAAGTGAAAAAAAAGAAAGACAACACCTTTCGTATAAGAGATAATTTGCTTGCATTGATTGCAAAACGGATACCTGGATGCTTACAAGCCTATGTAAAAGTTGAAAACTGCTATACAAGATTCTTTCAAGCAGCACTACATTGTAGATGTCAACTGGCAGGACCAAACGTGTACAAAATGGACAATTATGTACAGATCTCAAACCAGTCAAGTTAGGATTAAAAGAAATTTTTGTGGGTTTTATTGCAAATTTAACACTATTTGGTTATTTACCTATTTACAGATATTATTGTTAACCGGGAGTGGACTTTACTGTATTAAAGACCAGTGGGTTTTTGCTAATGTCCGATAACTTCAGAAAAACAGTCTTGCAAGGAACATTTCTCATCCGAACCATGACTGAACACTTTCCTACATCTCGCTGCAAGTTCTGAGTAATTTTCAAAGGGGCAACAAATTAAGCTGTGTGCAACGTTTGTAAACACATTGATTGGTAATTGTGATTTAAGTGAATTGCGATGTACATGTAGTACACACTGAAACTCTTGAGAGAATGTGTGTAATTCTCTCTGTCCTAAAAGGGTAAAGCAAGAATTTAGCTTTAATTTCTTGAGAGAATACACGACTGCATTTCATCCTACCTTCAGGTTCTTCATCTTGTTCCATCTCGATATCATCAGCATCACTTCCCCTGAGACTCCCATCATCTTCATCTTGGGCCTCCTCTATACTGCGTTTACCATCTACAAGATACAAACAAATCAACCATTTAAAACCATTATTTTTGCCATACAGGATACAAAAGACAACGGTTTTAATGTTTCACATCAGTACATTTTACATGATGCATCTTTTTATAGTCAATGGATCCAGAAAGAAAAACAAATATTGCTTTCATATGTCTTGGGAGAAAAACAACAACAACTCCAGGGATAGAATAAAAAAGGAAAGGATAGAATGTATCATTGGTCTACATCTTTATTAATAGAGATTGATAAGTTCTACATATATGTACATTACATGTACACTGTAGGAAACACCTTGCAACATAAATTAATTATGACAATTTTTCTTTCTACTCGACCTAAAATAGTTTTCAAAGTCTTACGTTTATCGCCTCCATCACCACTGATAGCTGTCGAATATGACACTGTGTATGAAACCAAAGTAGAAATGGAAAGAATTAATATATTTAGAAACAAATGAACATTACAAAAACAATATGAGTAAAACTTTGTCTTCCATAAAAATATGGGTTTACATTCTGTAAGTAAACACATGAAGAGATGTAAGTTATGTTTCCATGCATTTTTATGCACTTTTTGCTGTATTTCAGTTTGTGTGATGGGTCAGTAACTTAGTAACAGCATATAGTTGCTATCAATGAGATTTTCAAACAAAACACAAACATGTGTGAACAAGCTTATAATATTATCTATAATATTTATGATAACAACAATGGAAATAATAATAATATATGAATAGAATAACAATTATAGTGAAATTAATAATAATATATGAATAAAATAACAATGATAATGAAATTATAATAAGGATAAAACGATAATACTCTCAAGACGGCAGGAGGAAAATGTATCAACTGAAAAATGTTATTCTTGCAAAGTTGTTCATATAGGTCTTTAGAAGTAAGAATGGCACATACACGTACCAAATAAAAACATGAAATGCCAATATCAATAAAATCAAAAAGTCTTTGATTCAAGGAAGACAAAGTTAAGAAATAAATTGTGAAGTACTTTAGATAATATGTGCTGTGAAAGAAGGATATATTGTACATAGCCTGATATGTCAAGGTAAAAATAAGTTACAAAAAAAATTCCATTCTTTAGTTGCCTTGGCAAGAAAAAGGCTTTTCAACATTCAAATGCTTATTTCATTCAAGGAACTGAAACACAAAATGCCATCTTGGTCTCTTAAAACATCATCACTTTTATGCTCTATCAATGTATCAGTTATTTGCATCATATCAAACTCTTTTCATACTGATTTTTTAAAAATATTTTGGTCCCATTTATCCTCTCAGATGTCCCGCATACAATAAAATATAAATTTATTTTAATTTTCATTACATACTATAGAAACAAAATGAGCTGAGTATAGATGCTACTATATTATCTTATTTTAAGTTTAAGTTTAGTAAATCAATAGTTGAGCCTGTTGACATCTGTTTATCAAATTAAAATAATTATTTGGTCTGTGGTTCTGATGTGTGATAAAAATTCACCTGAACACATGAACATTGAATACACAACCCACATACATGTACCTGTATGTTAAATCTTCAACCCAACAGATTCATTTGTTGATAGAGTCAAGAACCAAGATTACTATGACTTATGTCAAATTTGTATGTCCCTTTCATTACCTCCATGCAAACTGCAAACTATGTACTACAGCAAAAAGCATTCTTTTGTTTAAAGAGCAGTGCAATAGCAAACAACTCGGAGGGAAAGATGTAAAGCTATAATTAGGTCATGCTTGCAGATCATGCTAGCTTTAAACTGCAAAGGTACGCTGTATTGTCTCATTATAGGATAAGAGAAATTTACTACCACTGATAACATTTTTTAAACTTACCATGTTTGATTACTACTCATTGCAAATATAATTAAAAAAAAGGGTATGACAAAAAACAGAAATCTACATCATAATGCTTATTTTATTCACCTGCTTTAGTGATTATGTAAGTTTTGCATCAAATAGCATGCACACGAAATATTTCCTATGCTAATAAATCAATCTTGGTTTTCAGGTTCTAATTTACTCTAATCAAAAGATTTCATGCTATTAGGGCCTTAAGCTATGGTCACAAATCAGAGCAGCGACCGACCGATCAGTAGCCTGCTCGGTCGCTGCTGGAATTAGGCATCGCCCAGCGATTAGGTCGGTGCCCGGGCGGCGACCGCCCAGGCACCGGGCGTATTTTGGGCGGCGAGTGAAAAGTTAGCAGGCGCCGGCCAAATTTTAACTCCGCGCTAAAACTTCAGCGGCGACCGGGCGATGCCCTAAAAACGAGCGGTGCCTGGGCGGCCGCCGCTCGGTGGCCGGGCAGCCGCCGGGCAGAATTGGTTAAAAACTCGCCGCTCGGCCGCCGAGCAGGCAACTTTTTGCTAATGTGACCATAGCATAAGTTAGCATGAAAGATGTTATTCATACACATCCTCCAAAAACCCACATTGCTTTTTTCTCTTTAATCAAAAGAACACCATAAATGAAATCAATGAGTGGCTGGTTGTGATTATGAAAATGAAGCTCATGCATTTACAGTCTCTCCTTCCATTCTGATTACATTTACAAATTAGAAATTTAAAAAAAAAACTTTTTTTTTTTTTTTAAATCATAATATTTTGTTTTCATCCATCTAATTTCTAGGATAATCTATCTCCATCATGATTAGTGCAAATTATAAATACAACTCATGAACTATAGAAATACATTATGCTTGACTAGATTTCCTTGGGGGGGGGGGGGGATTTATCTGTTCTTTTGGGGGTAAAGAAGCATATTCATTGTCTTCCAGCAAAGAATTTAATGAAATAATTGTTTTGCTTAAGCACAAGCAGTGCACATTTTTCTCAGTAATTGATGTTTCATGGAATTTGTTATAATTTAAGGATTGTAAGCATGAAATCTATTCATAGCACAGAGCTTTTTTTTCTCCAACAAAAATAGTGCATTGGCAAGCAATATCTTAAAATTCAATCTTATAAAATTAAAAAGAATAAAGGTCATTGAATTCTTTTAATTTTTTTTGTTCGATTACACTTTGTTTAAAATTGTAAATTGGCTATTCAAAAGCAAACTTGATTGTACTGTAAGTTTCCACCATTATGACACACTTCAAATTCTATTCAATATGAATAGACAATTACAATAAATGTAACATTCATATTTTCTAACTGGATGTTGTGAATATGTTTTGAAAATCAAAATAGGTTTGGCAGTATAATTTACAACAAAAACATTGAAATGGAAAAAAGAGCAACAATATTGAGTTGATTTATGATTAGTATGGAAAAAAAAACTTTAACTTGCAAATGTTTGCTGAAAATGTATTTTAGGGATATTACTCACCATAAGAAGTGAAAGAAAGGTAGAAAATAGGATAGACAAATTAGGAACTCATCACAGAAAATATAGGGGTAACAGTACAATTTGTTCAAGCATATGTAAAGGAGATAGGAATGAATAATATGGAGGGCAAATCATAAAAACATAAGTATTCATATGTGATTTCTGAAAGAGAGACACCATTCAGGAAGATTAGAAAATGGATTACCTTCTACACACAATAAACATTTACATTACTACTGGATTTGTTTTGTTAAAACTATTGTCCATTCAATGAAATGAATCACGAATTTAAAAGCTTTAAAATGAAAAGACAAGGAATATACATGTTTAAGGAGCAAGTATTGTTCATTTTTGGTACAAACATTGACATAACATTTGGAAGGAAGCAAGGAAGGGGATGAGGAGTTACAATGTCATCTACAAATATTTAAAATAAACAAAAAACAAAATAAAGTATGAAAGGGAAAGTAAACCGAACTACATGATAACTGGTTCTTGACATCCGAAAATACATGTATTTCAGTTCTATTGTATTCCAGTAATGTCTGTGCTAATAACGGTTGGAACATACAATGGAATTACCCCATACATGAGCCTACAACTTATTTTTCAAAATAATGTATTATTCCATTTGTAACAGGTACATTCATTGCTAACACATTAGCAAGGGATATAGTGAGGAATTTTAGAGGAAAGGTAAGAGGGTGAGAGGGAGAGAGAGGAAGGAAGACAAGGAGTGAATGAGAAAGAGAGGGAGAGAGTGGGCAAGAAAGAGAGAGTGGGAGAGAAAGAGAGAATGAGAGCGACAAAAAAAAAATGGAGAGAGAGAAGGGGCAAACATCAATTTACATGCGTAACACGACAACAAATAAATACCAAATAAACCGACCTGCATCAGCATCAGGATCATCATCCTCCTCAGCCCCTGAAATGGCTGCTTGGTGTTCTTTGTCTATCTGGATTGCTTTCTTGGGGTCATCAACGATGCCATGGAATACAAGCTAAATAGTTAAATATAGAAATCAACGAAAAGAGCCATGTTAGTCAATACACTGCCATTCGTGTTTGCTATTTCAATTGTATTATATATTTCCTTTGTAAGAGAGAATGAACAAGAGAGTGAAAGAGGAGAAGAGAGAGAGAGAGAGAGAGAGAGAGAGAGAGAAAGAGAGAAAGAGAGAGAGAGAGAGAGAGAGAAAGAGAGAGAGAGAGAGAAGAGGGCATCAGAAGACAAACAGAAACAGACAAGAAACAGGGGATATAGAGCAAGAGTGATAGAGCAAGAGAGGGAGAGAGTGAGTGAGAGAGAGAGAGAGAGAGAGAGAGAAAGAGAGAAGAGAGCATCAGAAGACAAACAGAAACAGACAAGAAACAGGGGATATAGAGCAAGAGTAATAGAGCAAGAGAGGGATAGAGCAAGAGAGGGAGGGAGAGAGTGAGAGAGAGAGAGAGAGAGAGAGAGAGAGAGAGAGAGAGGTGGAGTAAAATATGAATGTATGTGTTAAAACAGAAATGAATTAGTCCAAATTATAATACATAAACAAAAACTTGATTTTTCTACTACTTAATAAACATCATCATAAGAATGTGTCCCCAGACAGTTAAAAAGGAATCCTCCTCTCCTCCTCTTCTTCTTCCTACTTTCAATCATTCTCTTCTCCGACCCGTTCTCACCTGAAGTGGATTCTTGGGGCTGGACGGATCTCCTTCTGCTTCCAGGTCACTGAGTTCATCTTCATCGCCCACATCCTCAAACATGTAGTATCCTCCGGTCCCTCGGATGGCTACAAGATCATGGAAACGGGAGGAGAAGCAATTAGCATCTCATCTCCATGACAACACTCAGAGAAGAAGAGATCTCTTACTGCAGTATGATTACATTCTTTCACTGCTTTGTAAGGCTTATTAATTTTCATTAAAAACACATTCATCCTCAACTAGAGAAAGAAAAAAAAAAAACATTTTATATATTTACAATCTTTATGAGAAATTAGCATCTCATCTCCATGACAACACTCGGAGAAGAAGAGATCTCTTACTGCAGTATGATTACATTCTTTCATTGCTTTGTATTAGAGATATCATAGTAAGCTTATCAATTTTCATAAAAACACACATTCATCATCAACAACGGAAAGAAAGAAAGAAAAAACACATTTCATATATTTACAATCTTTATGAGAAATTAGTATCCCATGTCCATGATGATCAAGAATACAATCGACCTCAATACAGTATAATACCATTTATTTAATTATTGCGTCGTATGAGATATCATACTTAGGTCTTTTCATTTTCATAAAAATACATAAATCCTCAACACCAACAACACTCCTTTTCATATATTTACATTTTGTTTGGGTTATCATGACAACCTTTATTTTTGCAACAACACTCTCCTTGAACTACATGGTTTGTAATTGAAATGTAACCATTTGTATGACCCGGTGGGAGGGGGTAGGTGGAGGGTGTAGGAAGGAGGGTAGGAGGGAGGGGAGGGGGAGGGGGAGGTGGTAGGAGAAAGGGGGAGGTGGTAGGAGGGAGGGGGGTAGAGTAAATACAGGAATAATGATTGTAGAAAGGGGCTTGTGATTCAAGTTATTTCATTAATAACGATTCAAAGGGTGAAGGGTTTTGATCTGAAAATATCTAACACATGAGGTAATGGCAAGAACGCTGTGATAATATCATAACTTATCTTGAAGATAAGGATAACAAAACAAAATACTTCCTTAAAAACCAAACCTGCCCTGTCCATGATTGTGATGGTGACGAAATAATTACAAGTAAAGGGTAAAACATGATTGTTTCAAGTGTCAGAACCAGCAAATAATGCACAATAATATGAATCAGAGAATAATATTATCAAGACTACATGAATAAAAGCATGTCTCAAAAAGTTTCATTATTTTAATGATCATGCTACGATCATTGTCCAATTATCAAGGGAACAAATACAAACAGAACATCATGATTATTCAAAGATTAGACATCATAATGCTTTAAATCAGACACATAAGGCAAGTAGAAAGAAATTACACTACCTTTTTTATGATACAATATTTAATATCAAATCCAAGTTGAAGACTATTTCCAGGCAGAAATCACTTCTCAACTTGCATTAAGTGATTATTTACAAGGACTACATATTCACATGTATCATACTCTATACCTCTGAAATTATAACTACAATGAAATGCATTGTTTGTAAACAACATAATGTAGCATGCATCACAGAAAAGACAATGTAGTATATGAAGGACGATCACAAGTGCCTCCACCTGTCTAGATAATGCACAATCCTGTTTCAATTCCCCCGATATCTGCAGCTATCTTCTCTGAGAGTCTTTTTTACATCTAATATCTGAAGTACTCATAACTTAAAACTTACTGTTGATGTGCTTATTTTCTTCATTTTTTTAAAATCAACAACTAACACATTTAAATTAATTCTGTAAGTCATTCATGGTTGGGAAGTAAGATATCAAATTTAGCTTGCAGAAATTATCAGTATTTTATCTTACTGAGTAATATATTTTGATGACTTTAAAAATGAATAAATATAACATTCAATCAAGCTTGTATGATCACACAAGTCTTGAAAACGAAGCAAGTTCTTTTTTTCCTCTTTTACTTAGTTTCATTTTTCAAAATTGTCAAAATCTGAGTGTAGTCTGATAAAACAATGTGCTGTAAGCTCAACTGTAATAAGATTATTTTGTAACTTCATTTAAGGTATAAAGAGGCCTTCAGGCAGACAGCTTCTAAACATGCATTCTTGAATCATTCCTTGAGTATGGTGTCTGACCCTCCATTGCCATACCCTCGTTTTCCTCGAAGCCTCGTCGCCATGGATACAACTTAAACAATCGTTCCTCCTCTGTGAGATCTAGTCTCATTTCTGGTTGGGGTGTGTAGGATGGTGAGAGTTGGTTAGAATAAAGACATGCACACAAACTTATAGTGTCAGATACACGGTCATCATTTCTATGGTTTCCAAAAAACAATTTTAAATCTTATTCACAGCTGTTAAAGTTGCATGTGTGATGCAAAAAAAAAAACAAAAAAAAAACAAAAAAACAAAACACCCCTCATATTTGGGTTTTTGGTGCTTTAAATCTCCCAAACAAAATAATTCAAAAAATATTTATGTTACAGATAGGAATTTCATTATTTACATGTATGGCTGCTCTTTACAAATTCACTTTACATACAAAATCTTAAGTCATAACATTGGAAAATTTCTCCAATGTTTTGAAAGAAAAACAAATTATGTGATATTTTCAAGAATGAATATCTTTTTTTATTTTTTTATTAAAACAATTGAATAAAACAAAGTGATTCCTGACATTCATTTTGTCTATTTTTGCTTTTGATCTCCAGCAAAAATAAAATGTCCTTTCCTTTTCATTTACCTGCTAATCATCTCTTTGCATTAACCTGATAAAGAGTATAAAATACAAATACAAACATGAACAGACTTTTAATCACATGTACATATATTTACACGATGCAACACCTACATAAGAACAAACCCCATATCAATTATACATGCGATCTTTTATTTGACCCCTGTTTGATGCCTGATATTATATATTTGTAATAGATGACAAAATTTCCTTGAAAAGATGTATTTTTTTTCAAAACTGTAATTTCTGGTACTTTTTTTTTCTTCTCAAGTTAAATACTTTTCTTGAGAGCTAATGTAAAGTTAATAACCATTAATTCATAATTCAATTGGAATAAAATCAAAATTACTTTTGAATTTGAATCTCTTGAAGTAAACTTTTCTCTTCTTTACAGTTTCCACCTTTTAAAAATGAAGAGAAATATCATGTGCAAGTCAGGCAATAGTAACAGTATAACAAGAGCGTGCAATATCAATGTAAAACGATAATATTTCACAAGTTCATAGAAGTTTCTGGTTTTACACTTCTCATCATTTTCAGAATTCATGAAGTTTAATAGTCATATGCATCAGGTGACAAGATAAAGTGTCATGCTCCCACATACACTCCTCCTAAATGTAATCTACACTAACGCACAAACAATGTATAACGTGTCATTCCTCAAACGGTTCCAGCATATTTGCAACCTCATTGTGAATGGTTATCAGATGATAAAATAGCTTCATGCAGCTTGGAAGGCTATAAACAGCACATAATATGTTTCAAGTTGTCAATATAGTGCAAAATAGAAGTATGCACAGTCTCATATAAATTCATTAGAAGCATATTATTCAACACCTCTAGCATATTATTCAACACCTCTGGCACACTTCTTAACAACATATTCTTGACTGCATAGGAGGGATCCGGTAACTTTGTCTCAGATTCTGAAACAAAATTCTGGATTTAGCTCATGATGCAATGATGATTATAAACCTTTAGGTCAGTCAGGAACCCCATGACTTTTGCAAGCCTATCGCCTGTCTGATTATCAAGATATTTATGATTGGAATTACAAATTTTGAAAACTGTTCGCCTGACGATTTTCATAACACTACAGTCTATTGGGGAAAACGAGTATGGTAAAACCGGTCACTCAAAGATTTTTACTTTTTTGAGGCACTTCTTGATCATTTTAAAGCGCTTTTTTTTTTAGGGCTTCAATATTACACCATATCACAGACACTGATAACACGTAGGGCCGTGTATCTCAGATTTAACATTGTTAAACGATGCCTTTAATATGCACATATAAATAATTTCAATTTTTGACTGAGGGTTAGAGTAAACCTATATCCAAGTTTATATTTCTTACAAACTAGAAAGAGTAGAAGGGGAGTATATCTGTTATCTTTTGATCACCTTAAGCAAATATTGGACTATATATTGTTTTACTCTTTAAAGTGCTTTTAATATAACCTTTAAGAATGTGATTACTTTGAAAGCATTGACCTAGAGTAGAGAGTACAGTGTAGCTGATAAGATGAATCCTTTACCAACTCTGATTAAACATAGAAATGATATCTCTTGCAAAGTGAGATCCTCACTTACCCTAAAATAGTGAAATTGAAGTACTATTCACAAGATGTCTTTCATTGTAAATAAAGGAGAATGAAAATCTTTCCTATTCATTGTTCCATTGATAGTACATGTAATACCTAAATAAACCACAATCGTCTGATATTTTTCAAAGGGAATGTTCATGTAGAACCATCTATTTAGATTGATAGACGATAAAACCATTTTGATGGAAAACTCACCTTCAGAATGTGACTTTGGCTGCCATGTTTGGTTCTTTTTGCTCATTAGCTTGGCCTGTTTCTGTTTGATACGTTTCATCCTTTGAAAATAATATAATCACAAGGAACAGGATGTCAACTACATATATCAATGGTCTTCTAGCTGAGCCGGGCCCGTTTCACAAAGCCTTTTTTTCAATGACAAATGACAAAAATCAGTGACAAATCTGCTGATAACCAATCAGAACCAAGGATTTCAGTAGCTTATAACAAAAAATTCCATTTGTCACTGATGACAAGTTTTGTGAAACAGGGTCCAGATGTTTAATGATAGCCCAGCAGCTGAAAGAAATCCTGTCTGGCATGTACCTTTCATACTTGCATCACCTACATGTAATTCCATGCCTTCTTCTGATTGCCAAACTATTTGGAAACTAGTAGTGAGTTGTACATGCTCTAAGACACACACTTTTTTCAAAGGGGATACATAATAATAATTATGAGAATATCATTGTATAAAAACATAAATTATAGATAATTAGGTACATAGTACAAGAGGTTGTTCTTCATCAGGTATATCAAGTCAAGGAGGACAAGGTGCTTCGGGGCACATTGCATTTTCTCCAACTATTATTGAGAGAGGGTGATATATCACATTTCAAATACATCTGCCACACAAGGTCAATTGTTGGCTGACAGGAGTAAACTGAGCATCCTCTTCCAACACATCATTGTCTAAATCTAGTAAACTACTTTAAACTTATGTTTGAGAGTTAAACTTTTTATCTTGAAACAAAAATCCGCCACCTCCGAAATATTCAGCTGCAGTCTTTGTCTGCAATTTGACCTGACTTGACCTCTCTAACGATCAAAAATTGAATTCTCAAACATACGTTATCAAGAATAGAGATGAACCTTCATGGTACTTTGAACTCACTTTCTCTTGACACCTTGCAGTATGCGCTGCTCCTCCAAGCGTTTGTTGCGCACCTTGGCTGCTAGGATCTCGTTGATGAGCTCAGCACCTCTGTTCAATAGATACAAATGAGACACAAAGATTGTATCAAAACAAGGTTTTCCTACATATAACAACCAAACATGTAGAAGAGACAGAAAACACTTTTGGGAGCCAGTCTTTTCATGCTTCTACATAACACTGTATATCAAACAAACAAATAGATTCAGACCTAATGTAGACTACAGTCTTTCTTTTCAAGTCAAACTTTGGTCCTTGAAGCAAAACAGGAGTAAGAACAAAATTTGTTGAATATACTCTCATATTTGTATACGTTGTATGAGAGAAACCTGACAAATACTGTTTAGGACCTTGGCAAACTATGCATTGACTTTGATGGTGGGGTCCATGAAAACCAACTTGGGAGGATAGACCTTTGTGGGGGAGAGGGGGGGGGGTGGTGGTGGTCTTTTATTTATGTCCACTAAAATAGACACAGTAGTATGAACCTACTTGGAAGCTACTCCAAGTTTATATATGTCCATCACAATTGACCCCATACACACTGGGCTGCAGGATCTTCTAAGGCTATCAAAACAAACACAGGATTCAGACCAATCTTGAAAGATAATATCCTCTCCATTTACATAATGTCCGTTGAGTGCAAGAAGGGTGTTATTACATATTGTTTAGCACACAAGTTACGTCCTTTCGGTTCTCAATAGATGATATAGACCCATGGTGTTGTGGTCGAGTGGATACGTCACCGGACTGTGGATCACAAGGTCTACGGTTCAAGTCCCGCCGTGGCACTTATGTCCTTTGGCAAGACTTTGATTTACATTTGCCACACTCCACCCAGGTGATGTAAGTGGGTACCTGTCAGGAATTAACTCCTTGAAATGCTAGAGCGCCGTAACAGCAGCCATGCTAAAGCCGGGGTAATAATTGGGAGCACCTGGGGGTGTTTCACAAAGATCTAAAGTCAAACTTAAATATTATGGAGAGCCATTTGTAGCCTACAAATAAAATATATTCAAAAGCAAAAATTTAAGTATTTTAGACTTTTTATAAATTCCACATCAAGAACATGAAATCTCCTTGATAACGGAAAATATGAATGATCTGAATCAACATTTTATGTCTTTTAAAATAACTTTTACAAAATATTTTCATAGATGCTAATGGCTTTCCATAATTTTTAAGTCCAACTTAGGATCTTTGTGAAACACCCCAGGAGTGTCAAGTCTGACAGATACTGTATGAGTGCTATACAAAAACCCAATATTATTATTATTATTAAATCAAAGATAGGACGTACTTGGAGGCTAGCTTCTCCTCATCGGTCAGGTCTAGGATGATGTAGAGGAAGTAGTTACTGGTGAAGATCTGACGCTGGAATACCACAAACAGGAAACAGGTCACGTCCCATGTGAGTTTAGCTGAATCAGTGGGAAGGCCGCACACCTCATCTGTGGGGTCAAAACAAAACAAATATGATTACCGTTATATGATTGGCTTTGAGTGAGATATGGGATTAATATTGGCCTTGTATATTAAAGGGAACCAAAACCTTCATACTAAGTTACTTTTATTGTAAAGTTTAAGATATTTCAATAAAATCAGTGAAAATTTGAACAAAATCGGACAAGGAATAAGAAAGTTAAAGCTTTTTTAAATGACTAGTCACTAGAGGGCAATATTCAATTTGATGACATCATTTGTGGACAACTCTCCATACCTTTTGTACATCAAATTTTACAATTCTTTTGTTTTCTTCGTATTTATTTGTGTTCTTGATCTGACTTCATAACATGTGAAGTAGAATATCATTTTGCATTCTATACTTTGCTTTCAGGGGAGTAGATTATCTCAATCACAAGAAAGAAGGAAAAACATGAAGGTTTTGGTTCCCTTTAACTATTTGGGTATGCAAAATAATAGTTTCATATCACCATTATCATTCATCCATTTCATTATTTTGCTTGTACCATTTGAATCTGGCAAAAATTCATGGACATGAGATTTAAGAGCATACGCTCTACTGTTGCCAGCTGGGACAGCATATAATTCTTTGAGTAGCTGATGCTTGATGTGTTATACATTTACTTGAAGATAATTGCATTCTAAAAGAAAAATATCTCCAAGTTCTTAGAAACTGATAATACATTTAATCAGAATACTCATGTAGTATGACACTGTATGGTCCACAAATATCATATTTTTTCATTTTCTATTTGTTCTTATGAATTCAAAAGATGCTTACTGAAATATGATACACTTGAGAATGTAACAAAAAGAAGGGCTCTAAGCACGATTCAGTACAAAACATATCACAATATTGGCTATACAAGTGAATTGACTATATTTTTTATCAATGCTGAAAAGAAACACCACTGGAGACATTAGAAAACAACAAATTGGGAAGAATCTCATAAAAATGTGAAATACATTTTAATGAGAGAAGGAGATAAACTAAGAGCGAAGATCTTACCAGTATAGCCAGTCTGTAGGCAGATGACCCCAAAGACCTGCATGATCCAACAAAGTTCCTTGTCGACAATTTTGTCTCCGTAGGCGCAGGCCATGATCTGAAGGCCTACCTTCATAAAGATTACAAACAGCGTGTACCCAACCAAAAAATTCCACCTGAAAAAAAAAATCAGTTGAAATGGAATAAGGAATGGAACAGCACATGGACAAGGGAAGAAAATAAAACAGTTAGCAACAGAAAGAAAAAGTGAAGGTGTCAAAGTAACCCTGCACAAAAATGCAAAATACAGTTAGCAACTAAATTATTCTTAACCCTTGTAAATTTGATATTTTTGTGTTTTGCGTAACTCAACTAGTTGAATTAGGACCTTTGTTGAATACTTTTAGATGTAAGCTTTATTATGGCACATTCTAAAGAAACATATATCGGGACAAATAAATTTTTCATGTGCTTTACAAATTACAAAACCTGGTATTAAAGGGTATGAATAATTTAATTTTTGACTTATATGCCTGATACAACATGTATTACGTCTCAATCACAATCATATTCCCACACTTGCTGTTTTTCAAACAATTTTAAATTCTAAGCAGCATGATTCCCTGCATAATTACTTGCGTTTCGGACAACTCTTGCATTGTTGATTAGTTTGCCACACTGAGTAAATGTATGAAAGCTGCATATTAAAATTATGTACGATACATCTCATCCAGGAGGGGTAACTCTTTTAAAAATGTATGAGTTAACTCTTTTCTGGCTCCACGTAGACACATTTTTTGCCTCCTTTCCACATTTCATGCGTGACAAGAAGATTATCACATATAGCGAAACCAGAAACCTTCAGTTAGAATACAGATTCACAAAGGTTGTAATGCTGCTATTTGCGTCAAATACAACGTTATAACAATGTTACATTGATCAGTCACACGACCCTGATACCAGAGGTGCTTTCTTTACATTTGACTTACTGTTTCATGACTTTGTCGGTTGGTTTGGTGAGGAACTTGGGTCCATACCAAAGGAAGTAGAAGGCAAAGATGAGATACCAGACGCCAAGGATACTGATACGAGTTGTAGCACACAGGAACACAATGGCCAGGGTAAAATAGAAGGCGTATCCAAATACCAAGCTCTGTGCAGGGGTTTATAAAAACAAAACATTATCAGTTTCAGTGCTAGTGTCATGTAATTTTATAGGTACATGCTTTGGGTTCTGAGGATATTGAGACATATAACAGGGTATTTTAGAAGGAATATCTAAACACCAAGGTTATCAATATCAGTTTGCCGATATCAAATGGTAGTTTTACAATACCAAGGGCGAAATAAAAGACATACCCAAACATAATGCCTCATCAATTTGTAAACAAAAGGTCTCCGGTAACAACAACAGTATTATCAATATTGAGAGGTTCAATTACACAGCACTGGTAGTTTAGACTTTGAATTTCAAATGGCTATGAAATACAAAAGGGTCATGCTAATTTAATGAATTCAAGTGGTTTTCAGTGAAACACAAAAATCAGGAAGAGTATTAATAAAAAAAAATCATACATCTGTATAAGAGAGGTCTACATTGATGTTTAAAAATAAAATAAAATATAAACTTACCTTTATGAGGTCCAAATATGACCTGAGTAGAAAAGTTTTAAAAAAGAAGAAGAAAATAGTGTTTATGCATATTGAAATTCAATGAAATTCAAGGAAACACTAATGCATTGATGTCTGAATATCATAAAGAGTACAGTTAACAACTAAATGATTCATACCCCTTGTAAATTTGATAATTTTTGTGTTTTTCATAACTCAAGAATGGAATGTGGACTAGTTGAATTAGGGTACCGGTATTAGTTGAATTTGGGTATGACGTGAAAACTTGGTAAGGGTATGAATAATTTAGTTGTCAACTGTAGAAAGATTGCATCTCCATAGACAAAAAAATTGTGCACGTATTTGAACTGTAGGCAATGACAATAACATGGAAACTCATTTTAACACCTCTTCAAATGTACTATGTCCCATTTGCAGGTCCAAAAAATAAAAAGGTTAAATTCCAATGGTATTTGAAAGATAATACTAATTTAGAACTCCCCTTAAAAAAAGGAGGCTTGAAAATGTCTTTAAGTGGGAAAATAACGACTATTAGTTGTCAAATCGACTTAGGAGCTATAGAGCCAATAAGTAATAGTCTTGATTTTCAGAACATTGTACCGCATGGTGGTATGTTTTATGCTGCGCAAAGACTCAGTTTAATTTTGGCCGTTACAAGAAGTGGGTTATTGATGTAGACAAATCCTTTACAGCTCATTTTATGTACGTTATTAACAAAGAAGAAAAAAAGCCAGTCAGTCACTCAGTAATGACAATAGTGTCTGACAATGAAGTCTAGCAAGTAAACGGGTTTCCTTGCATAATTTGAATATTAGGACACTGCTAACGTTTAAATTTCACAGCTAGGACATACATGACATATTCATAATTCCTGCAAAGTTCTACAGAATTTGAGGTTGGCTGCAAAAGGGACACAGTATCTTTAATATTTCACATGAAACATGAATAACATAAATTTCAAAATATTAATTGAAGAAATAAAACATTTACAGAAGTGACTTTGGTGAGAGAAAAAAAAGCGATCATTTCCCAAGCTCGACTCTTTCCATGAAAATCAACTAATTTCATCTTGCAGTTTTCACAAACAATTTTGTGTTATCTAAACATATATGTGGCTTACACCCAGTAATTTTTGAGTTAGTCCTAGTCCTAATTTTGTGTTAGTCCTACCTATTGAAAGTGAAGTTGGGGACTGGATTTTCGTGGATATTCTCCACATCCACAGACACCTTATAGTTATCACCCCCTCCGGCAATGATGTCATGATTCCTCTCCATACGGAAAACTTGGAACTGAAGACAAACAAACAGCAGCTGAAAGAAGTCCGCTGAAAACACAAAAAGTGAGAAGAAAAAAACAACATATTTCTCTTTGTCTCCTCAATTTTTCTAGGTACAAATGCAGGTATAAGAGTACAGCATAACTTGCCCAATGTGGCATTCAGGTTGGGGACAACAGATTTGGGATAGTTGAATACTGCATGAGCCATTATTTTTGCAAAAGTTATATTTTTGTGAATTTTGTGAATTTTTGCAGGGTCGTTGATTTATTAAACAAGTCAGAAAAATGAATATGTCTTGTAAGAATACTGTGATAATCATCCTGGCAATGTCTGTATCCCTGCTATCTGCAAAATTACTGTACACAAAAATATCTTGGTTTATAAAGTATATCTGTAATGCACTTAGAGACATCATAGATGTATTAAGTGCTATATGAAGTGGAATATTATTATTATTACAGTAGTTACAGGCAGGTTTTTGTTTCGATGACATAACTTACCAACTATTGCCCTTGGATCGGGGTCTGTAGGTGTCTCGTAGTTTGAGAGATACAGCCATGTGCTCAGACGATCTGGCAGTGCTTTGGTGTTCCATGGATAATCTAGAAATAAAAAAACAAAAAGGATGAACTCTAAAATCTACTAAAAATAATGCTTTGTTTTGTTCACCTCACATCATAGAACAGAAAATACCCTTACTTAATTGAAAACATCATGATATTGATCTAGTTTAAGAATGTATTGATTGATATTGTTATCATTTGGAAAGAAAATTACAAATGAGATTACAGAAGAAAAATTAATTCAATCAAAATACTTCAATCAAATAAGTTCTGATAAAAATAAGAAATCTAATTTCATCTGTTTGATGAGACAAATACAGTCTCTCATTTTCATTGTGTGCTTAGGATAAGGGCCTGGCTAATTTCTTTATTTCAAGCTGTTTAGTTTTGGTTGCTGCAGTAATCATGTCAATGTTAACAATGCATGATATGCAGATTGAGTCAAGCAATGTTCGCACTTCAGTGTGCATTTATCTTGAAACATTCATCCAGAGTTTGCTGAAACATTCGCGCTCCTATCCAGAGCACCCAACTTTATGATCTGAACGAAAGATTTGATTTGATGATGTTTACTTATACAGAAGACTGGAGGCAATCCAAGAGCCAAGGCGTAAGCCACAGGGAGCAGACATATCAAGACCAACATGTAGAATGGCCACAAGAGGGCGCAAGTACGACGCCTGATGAACAGCAGAGGAACCATCATGGCCAGGAAGATGAACGCAAAGACGTCGAGCCGAACAGCTGCAACGATGGCGGTAGTCGTGAAACAGATCTGAATTCAAATTGTTAGAATAAAAAGATAAAAAACGACCGATGAGCAAATCTACTAAATGTTCTCTCAGGGTGAATTCAAGGATTGGCAAAGAAAAACAGATAACAAGGAATTTTTGAGTTCTGCTAGTAGTAGGAAATAAAATCTTACAGAATCAAAGTAATGCTACGGTCACAAAGGTTCATACGAACAATAATTTCGTACAAATTTCCCTGCTTTTCCATTGTATTCCCAAATTTCCATTGTCAGGAAATCGTTCGTAGCAGTTCGTAATGGCATTTGTGACCGAGGCTTAAACTTACACTGAATGTTCAAGTCAATAAATAATGGTATCTGTTATAACGGTTTGGTTGAGAGTGAATTAGAGTTGTGTAGGCCTATTAAAGCAAGATAAGAATATAGTTGAGAAATGTGCAAAGCAAGATAAGCAAACATATTCTGTTTTCCCAAATACTTGTTGAGGAAAAGATCATGTGCTTCAGTGAATTTAATTTCCAGTAAGCACTCGTTGATTTATCTACACTTTCCTAATTCAATCCATCAATATATTGCATGATGTACAACTTAGAATTATGTGAATCCATCTTCCCTCAAATTGCATCACTAGAACTCAAGCCTTTATACAGTACAGTGTTACATCAGTAAAGGCCCTTGACACTCATACAAAAGGTACCTGGCTGAAATCCTTGTTTGGTGCTAACATTCTAGGACAAGGTATTTGATCACACTTGTATCTCTCTACCTGGGTGTATATGATGGGTACCTGGCAATGCTGGGGTAGTAATAATTGCAGGGAAAGAAGAATTGTGAAAATAGTGATGTGGCTACCCTGTGTAAATATGACCATATTATCCCCAATATTACAATACAGTCAACCATGACGGACTCGAGTGAACTGTGTTGACTTAGGCAATCTTCTAATTGTAAGAAAGTCATATTTCTACAACTTACGCATATGTACTATATGTACATGTTTGTTGTCCTGATGCCATATATAACTGCTCCGTAGCCCTTCCAACACCTTACAAAGTCATATAGCGCCAGCATAATGCCGGGATCACTGCCCCGCTCGACTTGTGTGGTGGGAGCTCAATGCTTTCTCTGTGTTACTGTTTTGGGAATTTGATTAACTTGGACGATTATTTGACTTTAAAAATCGACTTATACAGAGGATTTACACACTAAGTCTGTAAACAAACATTTTGATTTTTTGGGGTTTTTTTTCCCATCAACTTAAAGAGGTTAATCAACACATGCAACGTCGACTTGTGCGAGGTTGACTGTATTTTCATTGGTAGAGTTTTCTCACCTCCAAACCAAACTTGAAGAAGCAGTAATTGATGAGGAATTTGATGCAACCAGGCAGACCATCTTTATCTGCACACTCCCTGGTGACATCATTAAACACGATGCTGTAGTTGGGCTTGACCAAGCCATGCTGGTGTCTATACTGCTGCTGATGAAGCATCACAATGGCTTGGATGATCAGCATGACGATGATCGCAACGTAGCCCTGGATATAGTCATTAATATCAAAAATAACATTAAATGCATGGAATAATACTGTTACAGAGCATTGATGTTAATAGTTTATCAGAATCTTTCACACACACACACACACACACACACAATTAATCAAATTCTCACCTACTAAAAAAGAGAAAGTGTAAAAAATGAGTACTGTAGCCATATTCTTGGATGTGAATACCACATTTATAATTGTTCATAATCGTACTAAATTTGTATTAGATGTGAATAATGTAACATATTCAATGTCATTTACATATTCAGTTTGCAGCAGGAATGTAAATATATGTATGTTACAAGAAACAAAATGATTAAAAATCCACAGTGAAATGCCCTAAAACTGCAGAGCCTAAATCAAATTTGATTTATTGAATACACTATTTATTTTTGTTGTAGTTCAATGTCTATTTTAACAGTAATCAACTTGCGAACATTTTCTTGCTTTTCTTGCTATTCAACTAAGCTCTTTATTTCTTATTGGCATATTTGCTTGACAAAGGCACAATGTAGTTCAGGTAGTATTCATATACATATTTCTCTGTCAGGACGGACATATATTAAGCAAAGATTTTTCTCACCTCCACATATTTGTAAAAAGAGCTGACTTGTATGAAACCAAACCAATCTGGAATGTTGAAGTTGTCCTCAATCGGGAAATCTTTATTCTGAGGAAGGAAATCAGATAACATTGTTATTCTTTAACTGCATTTCATCCAATAATATCATCATCATCATCATCAATATCACCACCATTCTTATTACCATCACCATCATCATCAACTTAATGACCATCATCATCATCACTATCATCATTACTATCAACATCATCACCACCATCATCATCATTCTCACCATCATCATCATCACTATCACCATCACCACCACCATCATCATCATCATCATCATCATCATCATCATTACCATCATCATCATCATTTCAGCAGCAGCAGCATCATCACCACTAACAAGAAGCTTCTTTTATCTATGTGCCGCTGGTGATAAGGTTCGAGGCAAACCAGTTTAAGAACTCCAACTATCACCACTATCTCCATCATCGTCATCATCTTCATCATCACTATCAACATCATCACCAACACATTCATCATCATCAATATCATCATCATCATCATCATCATCATCAATATCATCATCATCATCATCATCACCATCAACATTATCATCATCATCATCATTACCATCATCATCATTACCATCATCATCATCATCATCATCATCATCATCATCATCATCATTATCATCATCACCACCACCACCATCACCACCACTACCACCACCACCACCACCACCACCACCATCACCCTCACCCTCATTTAGAAGGATCTTCTTTACCTCTGTGCAGTTGGCGGTGAGATCCATATCAAACCAGTTTGAATAGTCCAACTGAAAGACCATCTTCCCCAGCAGCACCAGAGAGACCCATAACATGGACATCATACAGCACACATGATGAAGGGATGGTACGGCGATCGGGACGAAGATTAACAGAAGGAGAATGCCGTTCACTGCACTCAACTATACAAAGCAAAACAAAAAATTAAAGGGTAAAGATGAAGGATGCAAATGCTTTTCTTATGCTTGTTCATACCAACAAATCAATGTAAACTGACAATCATAAATGCAGCTACAAGAAGTAATTGACTTGAATATTACTTACAGCTAGGAAATAAGTGATGCAACATACATATACTTATCATGGGAAACCTCCACATACTGATGAACATACAGTTGTATTAATTACTTTCTACTACAAAAGTACAAGCTACTGACTGAATTGTTCCTGGGAATACCAATGATCGTGTCTGAGATTATGATTTATGTAAATCATGGAATTCTTTATGCCCTTCTTAATCACCTACATTTGAGTGGAAAACGGACATTCCATCAACTTCACGTGTATTGCTCTAATACAGCTTTCAATTAAATGTACTGACAAAAATGACATGCTCTTGACATTAAAGAATCTATCTTTCCTCTTTAACAATTCTAAAACATTAAAAACGCTCTGTTTTGCAAAAATATCATCAGCCTGATAATATGCAGCTAGGATTTATTTTTGTTGGTTACAACCAGTCAAAATGAAAATCAACTTCATGTTGTGAACCTGTAGAAGTCTCCGAAGGAACACCTGACAAAGACCAAATTAGGACCTGAAATACCTCGAGGCCTCTTCTCTTATAACAATTCTAACACAGTTAAAACACTCTATATGGCAATAATAGCATCAGCCAGGTTTCAAGGAATGTTGTTTGGACTTACTTCTTTAGTGATGACCAGTACGATGGTCAAGAAGATAGGGACTTACTTCTTAGTGATGACCAGTACGATGGTCAAGAAGATAGGGACTTACTTCTTTAGTTATGACCAGTACGATGGTCAAGAAGATAGGGGACTTACTTCTTAAGTTATGACCAGTACAATGGTCAAGAAGATAGGGGACTTAGTTCTTTTGTGATGACCAGTACGATGGTCAAGAAGATAGGGGACTTACTTCTTTTGTGATGACCAGTACGATGGTCAAGAAGATAGGGACTTACTTCTTTAGTCATGACCAGTATGATGGTCAAGAAGATAGGGACTTACTTCTTTAGTGATGACCAGTACGATGGTCAAGAAGACAGGGGATTTACTTCTTTAGTGATGACCAGTACGATGGTCAAGAAGACAGGGGACTTACTTCTTGAGTAATGACCAGTACGATGGTCAAGAAGACCAACTTCATCATGTGGACCTCCACGAGTCTCCAGAGGAACACCTGACATGGACCCAGATAGTTATTGAAGTAGGAATAGGCCTTCATCAGCTTCAGCTTCAAGGTGGAACGGGTCGTCGGTAAACCTGGAATAAAGACATGCAAGAAATTTAGATTTTCCATGAGGGTATCTGTGTTGTGCTAGGTTTTCACAGACATGAAGCAATCAGATGAAGAAGTCTACAGATCGGTCCCAGACACAGATGATCACTTCTGGGATAAAGACTTATCAAAGTGCAGTTATTGTTTTGTTGGTTAATTCCATTATTGTACAGTGTATCAAACTTCCAAATGATGTACCTTAATATATTTGAATATATGTTAAATTTAAACATGGGCAAGTCTAAGACATTCAACCTTTTTTTTTTTTGTGTCCCACACATAAACAAGTGTCATGAAATGATGAAATAAAAGTAACATCATGTTTACAATATTTGGTCTACTGCAAGCTGAAACATCACTATCAACTTGATACAATCAGCAGACTTACTACACCGTTGATGTAGTTGGTAACACAAAAGACAATCGAATTTCCCCACGTGTAGAATCCACAAGTTTTTTTTTACTTACTCTTCTTGCTAGATGTTGAGGCTCTGTCTGTATCATCAATCTCTACATGATCACCTCCGTCACCAGCTCCGCCTTCCTCTGCCTTGCCCTCTGCTCCACCATGACTCCCATCTAAGTTACTAGGACTGCAAAGATGGACAGACGAGTTGATTTTGATTACAGGGAGTATTCAACATCTTGGCTTGATGATGAGAGTAGCTATGGTGTTTTTGTTTGTTTTTTGTTGTTGTGTTTTTTAAATAAAATGTTCATAATAATAATTGACTTTCAGTATTAGGAAACCAACCCTGACAGTTTTTTTGTTGTGAAGTAACAATGTCCGGTGATTACAATTTCGTGTTTATTCTTACTGAAAATTATAAAAATTCTTTCAATAACTACTAGGACTGATCTTCAACATCTATTTGAAGAATTTGTATTATACCTCTTCCACAAAAATGTAAAAATTAGCTTGTTAAAGAAGTAATATTATGCCTCATATATTTGGTATATTTGGATAAAATAATGGCTGCTTTCCTTCATACAAGAGGCTTTCAATAATGTAATAAATTTCCAGTCTCATATAGCAGATATCACACTATTATTTCCTGTCCCTATACATTTCCAGTACATGTTTCAATGAGAAACTATTTTCAAGGGAAACAAAAAAGTGGTCTTTGTAGACAGGTGGTCTTTCTATAGAGGTGGTCACTAAAGCAGGTTTGACTGTACAATGGAATTCTTCCTCACCGGTATCCATCCCTCTTGATCTTGCTGATGGAGATGAAATGTGGGTGGAAATAATGAAGCTGGATCATAACCAGGATGATGAAAGCCGTCGGTATGAGCAGGTTGATAATAAGCATGCCCAGGTCATCATACTTTTGGAGTCCCAACACCGCAAGCCTGGAGAAACACAATGAATAAAGACATACATTAAACTTTAGACCCAACATTGTTCTTCTACAATGATCAAAGCCTTTCAAGAGAGATAGAGTACCGCCCCCCCCCCCCAAGAAAAAAGAGAGTATGAATGGATGCACATATAATAAATTTTGAGCAAAAATGCATAGTTTTTAACTTTAGACTACGCCTATACAAGACGTTTCAGTCGGTACATTATCAAAATTGCTAACAGTGATACTATTACTTTAGTAAAAAAAACTAAAAAGTTTCCAAATTTGACAAAGCTGTGTCTTCGTGGCGTTCAGCTGGGCGCAGAATAAACACTCAATCCTATTCATTAAATATTGTTGTTAATACAATATATACAAGCTTTGTGATGCATTTATTTCCGAGAGGGAATAGGCCTAAACAATAAAAGGTCTTTTAAAATGTATCTACAAAGGGTTTTGATTAAACAACGTATCTCTCACTTAGTCTCCAATGGGTCAAATTTGACAACTTCAAGGAACGAGTCACCCAATCTCTGAACGGGGGAAGTATAGATGATAAATTTTTCCACCGCATCAAAGAGTTCAAATGGAAAGAATAAAACTGAATGTTATACATACTCCTCTTCTGTGAAAAAGGTGTTGTTCGTCCACAAGTTGCGGAGATCGGTGAACTGGTAGGTATAGATCATGCAGAGCACCGCTGTGGAGTAGAGGACTACAACCCATCCAAACACTCGCAGGATGAAACGGAAAAGAGTGAATGAGAGCTGAAGAGAGAGAGAAAGCAAAGAGACGTATGTATATTTGATTAGCCTAGCATTGAGCCATGAACCTTTCTATGCAGTACCCAGGGTCTCTGTCACAAGGCTATGCTAACTATGTGTTTGATCATAACTTGGTGTAATTGACTTTGCTCTACAGAATATTCCATAAAGTGAGAGATAACTCTTGTAACAAAATTGTTAAATATATTACAAAGTTGAGAGTGTAGTTGTAGTCCAGTCATTCTCTCTGCTGTGGCCTTCAGTCCTGATGTTAAAAAAGTTCCCCAAAAATCTATCTTAAAAAAAAAATTTCAATGAAGATGTCGAGCAGAATTAAGGACAATATGAAGATGATTTTGAGGATATCAGCAGCCCCTTAAAGACTCCTGATGAGGAACATGAACTCATTTGAATTTAATAAATTAATCTCAACAAACTCACCATAAAGATGTTGAGTAGGATCAAGAAGAGCAACATGTAGATAATCTTGAAGATATCCACGGTCCCTTGAAGACTGATGATGAGGAACATGAGGCCGCACAGCAGGATCCAATACTTGGCCAGAACCGAGTTCAGAGTCAGACCTAGGAACGCCATGGTGTTGCTCTGCCCGCGTTGTAGATGGTGTCCATCAATCCCATCAAGCTCCGTAACTATGTAGCAGAAAGAAGAAAATGAAGCACGAAACAAAGACATTAAAGGCCCACTGCACTACTTGTAGCTACTTGCGCCCTCTTACAACAAACAATGCCTAATCGGTGACCATTGGTCCCCCATGATCCTCTTTTTCTTATGTTAACTGAGAGCTGAGTTGATGAGATAACCACCTGTCCAGTGACCTTGCAGGGCGCTCTAATCCCTCCTGTAAACTATGGCAGATAAGCTATAAGAATGAGAACTTCAGAATGGGACTGTTATGGTTTGTTCACATATGCAGCAGTCGACCATGGCAGTCTGGGCAGATACTAAATGAATGGTCAGTAGGGATGAAAAGAGGAGCTGGGCACAACAACGGTCCAAAGCTCACTAATCTATGTGTCACAAGATACAAAACTGTGAAGTACAGTACGCTCGAGTACGCTGAAATCCACCCCCGCCTTAGTAAATTCCTATGGTTTACTTGGCTATATATATATGAACAAGTCTTTACAAGGTTATTATTATTGCTTTTGATGATTAACTTACGCTGTTCACATTGAGGTATATTTTATATGTATTGTAATTTGTAGGTTTATTTGCTTTTTCTTTTTGATTTGTTTAAGTGTAATTGTTTATCATTGTATTTTGTTTGCTATAGCACTTTTAGACTTTGGTGGTAAGTGCTTTATAAGCATCGTGTTTATTATTATTATTATTATTATTATGATTATTGTTTGTCAATCTGGAGATGGAGAAAAAGTTGACCCATAAGTTATTGCACTTACTCATCACTTCTTCTTCTGGACCTGAGAAGATAACACCGAACGGTTGGAGGACGATGCCTTCATCTACGTTGTGCCTACGAAGCTTCTGCTCTCTCAGGAATTGACGTAACGTCAGCCAGAACATCAAGGTGAATGCCATCTACACGATGGAGAAATCAATATAAGCATAACGACAAAGTTATTAGAAAGAGAAATTTATATATTTTACTTCTTGAGTCTGTGATTTAATTTGGATTATTAAAGTTATCTTGATCTACATTGGAATATTGTATTGTTAATTTGAATGACAGTCTATAAACAGACAATTGTTGAGATGATTTTAGCAAGACTTTTGAACATTTTATTCTACATTTTCATCACAAGCTGAATTTTAAAATAAATGAAATAAATTTATATCTTCTAATATATCAAATCTCACAGTGATATCTCTATATATTTATGTCAATCTATTGATACCTATGATAGTTCAGTCAAAATGTATGAAGACAACCAAATGAAAAGAAAAGACGCAGTCTATTAAGGTATTAGTAGTCTTATATCCCTTTCTATTAGTATAGGATGGTTTCAGTGAATAACACAATATTATACATAAGATATGAGGTTTTTCTATGCAGGTGGATGCTAAATCAGACTTAACTGTAGATCATATAGATTACCACAATCTCTACCGTCTTGACTAGAACTGACAACAGCCACATCGCTATAGCCGACTTACCTCAACAAGGAGTGGCACAAACGGGTACTTGTAATGCTCGAGCCCAACTTCTTTGAGATCGATGACGCCGACCTTCTCAGGCAGGTCTGTCTGGAGACCGTAGATGAAGGTGACGATGATGATGGCTTCGGCGTAGAGGACCAGGAGCGGAGACGTGTAGAGGCAACGGTTCCTGGTGGTGCTGATGGGCAGGATCCAGATGAGAAGAGCCCAGAGCAGGAGCACGAAAGTGATCCAGCTCAGATAGATGATGCTCCAGGCCTAGGGATAGTACGAGGGAGGGATACATGAATTAGGAGTGCAGGAGAAACAGGACAGGATGGAGCTGTTGCATTGTATTTCGCTCGAAGAGCCAAAATCAAAATCCTAAATCTAATTGCAAAGAGGATAATTCTTCATAATAATAATACAAATTCTGCTTTTATATAGCGCATGATACATCTCTGATGTATCTAAGCACTTTACAGGCAGACATACAGCAATATCACAATACTGAAATTAAAATGGAGCATTCGTTATTGAGTTTTGCCATTATACAACTTCTCAGATGTGTATTCTTGTAATCAACATATAATTAGATATTTATCTTAAACAGAAAAACAGAAGAAAAAAACGTATTACAGCAGAGACAAATCTGGATAAATACCTCATTTTCCTCTCTTCTGAACAAAAACTTGGCAAAGAGAAATTTAGGGTCACTGAAATCATTTATAGATCATATTAAACGTTCCTCCTTGCATTGATTCCCCAAGAACTCATTAGCGAGCTAACATATCTCATCAAGTGTAATTACATAACAAAGCAATTAACAAACAATTATAAACAAATGGACACAACAAACATATATATATAGTGAGTTCACAAACATATAGTAACAGGTGCTTGTTGGTTAAAGTCACTATGAGAACACATACAAAGTATAAACATACAAAGAACAGAAACATATATGGACTACAAAATACATTACCACAAAACAAGCACTATCTAAGTTTAGAAAATGCCAACAATACTGGATTTCATATTTATTGCCAGATTCTTTTTTTTTAATGTCATAACTGCTCATTCTAGTTATTCATAAGAATCATATATCAACAAGATCTTCTAAGATAATATATGTTTAATGGGTACAATATAAAGCATCATGCTTTGCATTTAAATTACCATTACTTTTAGGCAGACATGGAGTAGTAGTTAATGATTACAAATACCAAACTTTTTTCTTCAATAAAACTTCCAAAATGCTCTGATTTCAACCTTATTCTAAAAATATTTCTCTAATTGTAACCTTCTTTACCATCATCATGATCAGCATAAAAAGATGCCTTTGTTGTAACTTTTTTTTTGGTAAAAGGAAAGGGATAAATTGTCAAATTAGTATAATTGCTTATATATTTATTACAGGCCTTTTAAGAAGAACCTAGGAAAAAGGAGCTAGAAAGAGAAAATCTCTTCCCCACTTACTGCACATGTAGTACAACAACACTGTACTTAACATTTTCTGGAAGTTGCAAGAAAACTATTTTAATCTAGAAACATTGAAATAAAAAGTAGGCAAATGTATTGGAAACATATACAACGTACAAATGTACGGGACAATGCAACAATTTATACATAGCTTTAAAAAACTCAATGAGGCAATATACTGCACTATCACAGACATAAAATTATAGAGCTCATGGAAAGTTGATCAGAATACAACCAAAATTGTTTTCAATGATTATAAGTTGTAAATTGTAAAGCACATGGAGAGGGCCTACGGTCCCGAAGTGTGCTATAGAAGAACAATATATTATTATTATCAAAAGAAATAAAATTCTTTAAATCGTGAATGCTTATCTCTTTAAAATCATTAAATGGCCTAAAGACAGCATATGGATTTTTTTTTAGGAAACTTCATCACATAAAATTAAAGCACAAAGAACATCAATGAACACACATTGGAACAAAAAGTCATTTTGAGACAACTGAATAAAACCACACAACTACAAAGAATATAATTGGTCACAATGAACATGTAAAACAACAAAAAGAAAACTATACCCTTGGGAAAATGACTAATATTATATGAAGTTAGAATATAAAAGCTACAAGTGAAATGAAGATAATAAATTACCATCATAAGAACAAGTCCCACGATATAGCTCTGTTTGGTCAGGAATCCCAGGAAAGAGGTAAAGGCACTCATCTTGTGCGCCCCTCTCTCGTCCCCGCTGGTAGGTACAGACTCCGCCCCTGTGGCCTCGCCCTCTCCATCGGTAGCTGGGGTGGTTTCCTGGTGGGCCTGCTGTTGGGCGGGGTCCATGGTCTGGTAGGAGGTACCTGCACCTTCCGACACAAGATGCTGGAAAGGGAAAAGTGATACTGACTTGATTAGGAGACAGAGGGACAGGGACATCTTGTTACCGGTATTATATTATATTTACCCATTTTGCCTGAGGTTAAATATACCATTGAGAAATGTAATACAGAAGTCTTGAATATGCAAATATACACCCCTGCAGTGCGTGAATTTGCTTTCGGTGAAGTTGCTTTTTAACATTTCTTCCCAGTGAATATAATCATCTAGTCCATTTATATGCATGACACAAAGTAAGAAATATAGTTGTAAAATACATTTCATAAACCTTTTTTTTTCTGACAGGAAATAAGCTGGAAATGCATTTTAATATCATTCAATTGTTATACTGTTTTAATTTCAGTTGTATGTTCTGCTTTAAAGTATCAAAATTCACTTTATTAAAAAGTTTTGTTGATGTCGTTGTAGGATGTGTTGTATATAAATGTTGTATAAAAAGGTATACAAGAAAATTGGTTGGAGAAAAAGACTGATATACTGTAGCTTCAGTCAAATACCGCTGACATATCTGCAATTAAAGATAAGTCTGAAATACGCATTTATATATAGCATATTTGAAATTTGCATGTACTTCTTCAACAAATAAGTAAATGAAAGATTGATGTTCTACTGAATTTCCAAAATGTTGAATAAACAAAATATTTCCTTACTGGCACCATACCCTGACTCAAACCAGCTAACTCATGTACTGGGGCTGAATATAGAATATGGGATGCTTAAAGTCCCTACTTAATAAAGTCCATATAATAATGCTTACTTTAAAAGCATACAGTATATTGTCTTTACTTTACATGCAACATATGCAAGAAAATCACTTTAAAGCAGCTGAGAAAAAAATGCAAGACAAAAGTAATTTCATTAATAAATCAATGATGGCAACATAAATATAATCCAGGCTGTTACTGAAAATCATACTTTTTAAAATACCAAACGTATATCACAACAAAGAGCATACATAAATGTACATGAATTTAGTTTATATATAAATATAAATGTTCATATAAAATGCATTGATTTCACAGCAACAGGACATTTTACACACAGTAAAAGAGGTTAACTTGAAGAATGCATCACTCAAATCTTATACTATAGGGTACTTATAAGAATGTTACTCAAGTTCGGAAATGTGGGAGTGAAAACATGTCTTCCAATTTCTCTTATGGTGCATATTCTGTACATTGAAGATTGTATGGACTCAGATGTATATTAACCTCATTTATTTTGTACATTATAAAGCCCCCGAATATGGGAAAAAACAAACAAAACAAAACAAAAGCAACTGCCAAAAAATGGCATCCCTTTATAGTGATGTACATCTCTTTTACAAGTCTAGTGGTTGACCAACAAATACAAAATTACACTTTCTCCCGTAAAAAAAGTCATGATTAATTGTATCAGAAGTTAATACAAAACATGAAATTCCTTCGTAAAACAAGGATTCAGAAAAGGGCTTGGGGTTTGTGTTTATCTAAATAGCAAATCATATTCTTATATTGCAAAGGATTTTAAATGACCAATCATTCAATCATTAATTTTATTTCACTGAAGTACAAAAGCAAGCTATAGATAAATTATACAGATCCACACACACATATGAGCACACATGATAGACATCAAGACATATGAATATAAAAGCAAATGAAATGGAATACAAAACCTGCATGAAATGGAGTTGACTGCAAACATATTATTTCAATATTTATTTTTAATATATATAGGTTCAATTTTTTTTTTGTCTAGTGGTTTGAAATGGGAGCAAATCAGATCTGTCTGCTGGAAGCTAGAAGGGTCATGTGACACCTTTTGGGCTCTGAACAAGGGGTTGGGAAAGAGAAAGCAATGGATCATAAGCAATGGAAGCACAGCACAGCAAACAAAGTGTAAAATACAGCACAAAATCAGGCAAGCATCATGCATGATTTATAAAAGAAAAAAAGAAGAAGAGAAAAAAAGAAGAGAAAAGGCATGATGGGAAATGTATCGAAAGACGTCCACACAAACCTCTTCTGTCTCCTGAGAGTGGTCAACCGCCAGGTGGAATTATGGGTAATGAAAAGAGTATAGTCAATTTGGGTAGAATAGATCATGGAATAAATACATAGATCTACAATGATCATAATGATGTGATCGCACCACACACATATGAAGGTCAAGTTATATACGGGAAGTCTTTTAACTATTTAAAGGGGATATTTTAATTGCAATCTAAAAGTTAGGACCAATAACATTTGTACATAATGTAGGATTGGGGAGTTTATCTAATAATGAATGTATCTTTCTTTTAAAACATTTAGGTTAACTAGATTTTTTAACTTCCATAAATTCAGAGCTAACTTTCATGTATGTAAAATTCCTGTTTTGAGAAAGGCTGACTACGGTAAACAGATAATATCTAAACTATATGCATTGAGCTTGATAAATACAATAGCTAAATTCTACTTTTAAATCTAAATGTCTATATTAAGATTGAAGATTCAATTATCTATTTCCTATCTAAATGTGAAGTGAATTAACAGGCATACTATGAGAACAATTAATTTTTGAAGCAAAGGAGGAGAATAGAGATTTTTTATATAAACAATTATTGTTAATTACAACTGCATATAAAAAGATGCAGTAAAAATGAAATGATGTCAGAGTAAATTCATGCATTATCTATCAATTTATCTTTTTTACTCAACAAATAAACACTAATTCAATAAATATTTCAAAAGCCTTGTTAAGCTTATGTAATCAGTCTAATTAGATAAAACATTTAATTACAAATGACATGCATACCGAAAGTGTTACATTTACGTGAATACCATGAACCGTCAACATACAAGAACATTCATTCTGCATTTTATTCCCTAATACTTCTGGCTACAATCAATTTATGAACTAACTCAGATTATTGGTTTAAGATTAAACATTAGATTAAATTGTTAATTTTATGATGAGTAATTCATCTGCCCAGAGCAAGAAAGATGTTAATTCAAATATCTTTTTTTTTTAATTCACAGAGTTAATGCCCTTCTGGCTCTCTACAGACAAACTCTTGAACAGTTCAGAATAAATTACAATAAAAACAAAACAGGAACATGATTATGGTAATTATGTTTAAAACATTGTAAATCTCGCACTTCTAAAAAATCAGTAACTGCTAGAAAATTTTGTATGCAAGAAACATTGTTAATTAATTATGCAACTTGCCCACATTTATATTTAGTTTTGATACTTTTATGTTGCAAAATAAATGCATCACTAATCTTTTTACATTAGTGAAATAAAACAAAATTTCTCTGAATAGAAAAAAGCATTTCCACAATATTCTATGTCCTCTCAACATTTTCCTGACTTTTTTACATAAGAACTGTAATAAAAGTAGTTTCTTTTTCAACAAAGTTATTGGAAAGACTCATCAGAATATCAATTTAGTCTTCTAGTTTCTACTCAATCAAGACATCAATATTCTCTTTTGTATTGTTGTTTTGTAAGGATTGAGCAAATCAAATGCACAGCTAGATGATTTCTAGTTTTGATTGAAAATAAATTTGCACAGAATTGATGAGTAGATATAAACAGAGATGGCTTTTCATTTATGGAGGAAAAAAAAGAGCTATCATTTGAAACGGAATAGCCAAATTACACATGAAATCAAATACAAATTTTGAGAAAAGAAATATTACAGCAGGTGAATGAAGAGATAAAATTGGAAATTATAATGGAATACCGCTGAAAAAACTAGGGGGAACAAGACCCCCCCCCCCCCCTCTCCAAAAAAAAATATGTATATATACAACAATGGCAGAGTGACATTTAAAAAATAAAAATTTTGAAAAATGTGAAAGCAAGAATTCTTGTAATTCTTTGATGAAAACTTTCTTTGTAGAAAGTATAGAAATATGTGGCAAATTATAATCATCAATTACAAATAAGGATTATGAATTATGGCTAAGGCTAGTATAAATAGGATGAACACCGTGAATTTAATAAAATATCTCTTTAATTTAATAAACCTAAATAAAAGGATTACCTGTTTTTCTTCTTTCCCAGATTTCTTTCCCTTCTTCTTGGGGCTCCTTCTGACAATCTCCACATATTCCTAAGAAATAAATAAAAACAAACATTTACAGATAAAAATCGGTATCAAACATAAAACATTAAAAAACAGAGTGGATTCACTTGTACCGGTAATTAAAAAATTTCAATGCAATTTTTAGTGAATGATACAAGTGATAAGATAAAAATACTTTTAATTTTTTTTTTTTTTTTTAATATATATTTTTAATGTCTTTCCATTTTCCTGTTTCCTTTCAATGGAAAGAGAGTAATATGCTTCAACTTAGTATAGTTAACATGTGGATTATTAGCAATTGTATCAATGAATGGCAAAGATGTGAATTAAAATGAGTTTATAAGATGATGTTAACCCAGATGAGCCAGCTCGTTTAATATGGTCCACAAATGCTCAGAAAATATGAATATGAATTATGAAGCATATGAACTACAATGTATATATCACGCCCCACCAAGCTTAAAGCATGATAGTAAGAAATATCATCCGCTGAGAACCAGGAGGGCGTTAACTCATATATTTTTTACTTACATGTACATTCAATGCTCTTCTGGCTGATGATGATATCTTGTCTTTACTCAATACTTCCATATAGGTTACATACAATGGCATTTTTAACAGTAAGTGCAAACACTTGGGCGAGGTTAGATGCATGGTATACCTTGGTATAAAAGTTCATTTAGCTTGTCATGTTGCTATAAATCATGTTAATCACATTTTTAATATATTGTGTTGCTTGACATGCTTGTAAATGTAATATCATGTGGCATTGATGCAAATTCACATCATGCAAGCTGTGATTAAAATGCTTTTACATATAATGTATAAATGAACATTTACTGTAAAACACAAAATGAATTTAATAATTAATGTTGTGTGAGCATTGAAATACCTGTGAATTACAAGTAAACCTTTAAACAACATTCATTGAAAATTATTAACACAAAAAGCCCTGATTTTCCTGGTGTCAAACTCCTTCGATAAGCTCACAATTCAAACTGTCCAAAGTTACATATTTGTGTCTACCGGTACCTCCGTTTCATGTATACAAATTACATAAATTCTAGGTTGCAAAGCACATCATTAAAAGGGAAGGGTACAACTGATTTAATACATGATGTTAATATCATCTGGTGAGAGCCTGAAGGCAGCTGACTCTAGGAAAAAAGGCATCAATTCATCGCTGTTTTCACGAAGTGACGGTAGTGAAAAAAAATTGCATTCACTTTGCGTTACGATTTTCCTCACTACCGTCACTTCGTGAAAACAAGGACGAATTACTTAATGCTCTTCTAGCTTTAAGGAAAGGGTATGATGAATACAAATCATGAAAATGGTATTAAACACAATTGAAATTTGTATAAATGATACTAATATACATTGTATGCCGGTCCTTTAGCATTGTCATTTTTCTGCTTACTTTATAATACAAACTTGGAGTGCCTTTCAAAAGACAACATATTCTTTCACTAGTGAAATTTTCAAAGGCACATATTCCTTCTACTTTCGGGCCAAAGATGATTTTTTATATTTTTAAACTTGATAGGTGTCCTTTAATGAACAGGACAAAATAAAATCTCAGATTAACAAAGAGAAAGGTGGAGGCTATATTTCTTTAAAAAAGATATTTACCATTGAGAAAATTGGTATAACCATTTTGCATTCAATTTCCTTTAATTCTACAATATTAGAAACTTGAATAAAAATCATATCCTATAAATAGAAACCATCACATTTGATCAACCAGAATCCACTCTTCTGTGTTCCACAATTGCTCCCAATCCAATGAAACAAACATGTACCATCTCTGCTCATTTTCATCCTTTTACATCCCCTGACTGTATCTGCCCTACATTTTCCTTTGTAATTGCCATCAAACAAATAGGAATGAAATATTCCAAAGAGAGTGGGTGGTGGGGCGCACCTTTCTTTAGGTATTGAATCTGAAGAAAATGGCTTTGATAATTGTGCATGTGTACACAATAACCCTGGTTTATGGACTTCATATAAATGTTGCAGTACATTTACTAGTTACATATTTCACAAAGTCAAGCAATTTCTTCAGGTAGGTTGTTTGCTCCCCTTAAATAGCTCAATCATTTGACACTAACTAAATACAATTAGAACTAGGCTTGTTGAAGAAAAAAAAACATTGTAAAAGCTATGCCATAATTTTTGACAAAATGGATTGAATCTAAAGTATCTGACTGTTCAAATATTGATTGACACATGATACTAAACATGTGAAATAGCTGATTACCAGACTTAGAGGTAACAACTGCATGAAAGCATTCGGAAACCAGTTTTATATCCTGCATGAACAACTTTGAAAATACCTTTCCTTTTCATTCACTCACAACAGTTATCTATTCAGACTGAATTTCGTAGAACAGAGTACACAAATACTCCTTAAAGGAACTAATCACTCCCAGGAACAAATCTGAATCGTCAGTAGCTGATGTAAAACCATCCCATTAGATATTAGCATGAGATTTATGTAGAAATTACACACTCTCTACAGAGGTAAAAAATCGGAAGCAAGGAAACAAATTGTGATTTCAATCAAAATCCAATAAATTAAATAAATTATCTATTGAAAGCACTCAGTAGACAAGGTCTGCTCTTTACGGAATGGAACAAAATCGATATTTGCTCTCACCTCACATTACGTCCATCTCAACTTAAACTATTCATATTTACAGCATATAAATCATGGCAAAAAATCCAGCACTGTTATTCAACCCAAACGCAGCAAAATAACTTTTTTATCTCTTCCAGATCTCAGATAAGACAATATCAATCACTTTTTTAATTTTAATTTTTGAAACCTTTATTGATCCATATCAAACAGCAACTACCGACGACGCATATCATGTACGGAAAAAAAGTCCTAATATTTACTTTGGTTGGGTAATACGAATGCCATATGTTACAATTTGGGAGAAGAAAGACAGCTGCTTTTCAATTCTAGCTGAAAATTCCAGGCTCATGCCTGATCAAAAAAAGCTTTTTTATATTTCTGTGGCACAAAAAAATGCAGACATGAAGGGAGAGATGACCCCTTCTGTACAGTGTACCTATTTTTATTCAGACATTCAAAAGGACAAAAGCCAGTCAGGCATCAACAATGATTTAGGTGAAGGCTACATGAAAAGGTCTTGCGATGTGACATAAACTATATTTGCTTACATCAGTGTAAGTGATATTTGACTCTGCTCATGTGTCATTGTGCAACGTGTAGCACTCTATGAATTGCATATAATCAAAAGGACTGTACTTATACAGTGTAGTTTCACATTTTCTTTAATAATACAATGTACTTGAAAACAGGAAGTCATTAAATCATTTATGGCATTATTTTATGATGGCAGTGTAAAATCGAAAGTCATACAATAGTTATGATTATACACATGCTTTTTGTAAGCAGAACCATTAGTGATTGGCAAAATAACAGATTTAACTCTGATGTGAATATTTGTTGAAACAAAGACATATATTATTTTGTACTGGACATAAAGTCAAATTAAAAAAAACAAAAAAACAAAGAATATGTGTTAGAGAGATATATGTCTTATCAAAGGGGGTGCACGGTGGCTGTTGAAGAAGCAACAAATTAATTACAGTGAATACCTTCCATCAGTCGAAGTCCTAATTTTACCCAGGACTGAACACTACATTCAACTCTTATCTGAGTCCTATACATCAAACTAACACCTGATCGAAAGAAACCTAAGCCTTAATTCCTTGATGAAAGATATCCCAGAGCATACATCAGAGAAAGCAAGGGGCTGTAATCCTAAAATAACTGTAGACCCCAAAATAACTAAGGGTAGCTTACTTGTAATAATAATGGCTCATACTTATTTGGTTAAACCAAGAAGATTATTGTTTATAGATGGATGTTAGTGCACAGCTGGGATTCACACAAGTAAATATTTAACTATACCATGACACCTCCTTATTTATTAAATACTGCATCAAGCTTAGATTTTGTGTAGAATACGGACCTATCTCTTGTAGTACAGACTACAGAGCAAGGTATACATGTAAAGCCATCTTTCTCTAGATATAGGATTAAGAGGGGAAGTTTACCTTGGCAGTATGGGAGGGGGTTGGAATAGAAGAGTCTCTTCATTTCATTTTCTTATAATGGGCTGCCAGCATGTGCCCAGACTGAATGCTATCTACTGAAGATAACATGCAGAGCTATGACAGGTGATAAATAATGCAATTATATTTCCTAAAAAATACCACACAAATGACACAAAGTCAATTCATGTGATCTCTTTTTTGTTTTTGTTTCACACGTGGGCCTTGAGAATTTGATTTCAAGTGGATTCAGCGCCTTACAAACCTCTTGGACCTTCTACAACTCACAACATGTTTGCAATAAAAGTAGGATATGAGATGGAAAATGTGCCAGCAGATCTTTAAACTGTTATGTGCCTGATGCACGGCAAAGGTCGAGACGTATCATTAGGCCCGTCTTCACTCTCTCAAGATTGCCAAATATCCAGCTATTTGAACTATCCTGATCGAAACTATCCAGCTAATTTGCGTTTCCATTAGACCGAAGTAGCAAATTAGCTGGATAGTTGGTCGGGATAATATCCCAAGATATCTCGGTCTAGTTTGCAAAATATCCAACCATTTCTGAACTAGCGGGATGGTTTGCGACAGTCTTCATTAGACTGAAGTCCGGAGTCAAATATCCCGATCCCATCATGCACAACGATTTCCTGTTTTCCGCTGAGCAGTATAGATCGCATGTGCACCAGGTACAACTAGTAAACACGGAAAACCGGAAATCGTTGTGCATGATGGGATCGGGATATTTGACTCCATACTTCGGTCTAATGAAGACGGTCGCAAACTATCCCGCTAGTTCAGAAATAGTGGGATATTTTGCTAGAGCGAGATATCTTGGGATATTATCCCGACCAACTATCCAGCTAATTTGCTACTTCGGTCTAATGAAGACGCAAATTAGCTGGATAGTTTCAATCGGGATAGTTCAAATAGCTGGA